CCTTAGGTGAGTCTGACGCATCTTCTTGCCAATGAAGATCTCCAATGATGAGATATACAGACGAACCAACAGCCAGGACGCCACCATTGAAATCAAGCAGCACCGAATGAGACGGCTAGGCCTCGTCCCTCAGAATTTGACCCCCCAAAATGGCACTGAAATGGACACCACCCGGGAAAAGGAAGCATGGACGTCCAAAGACAACATGGAGACGCATCATAACACTGGAGTTGAAAGAAAAGGGGTTTTCATGGGGCGTGGCACAACACGCTGCCAACGACAGACACAAATGGAGACGCATTTTTAATGTCTTATGCCCAATACGGGACGAAGAGGACTAAGTTATTAAAAAAGTAAGTTGCACATGAAACTTTTGTATAAGGTTATAACGTTGTCTCTTAAGTCATAACAATAAGATTGTTTACTAGCAAAAGCAACAGGAAACCCTAAGTATAAACACAAAATCAAACGGAACTAAGAAAAGATAAAACTGGGACAATTTATGAAAAAGGGGTGTTTTACATATCAACGATGGACAAATTACAAGGTTAATCCGACTATGGTATCTGGAAGGATTAGTGTCTTTTGTCCCCATCTAAGTGTATTGAAAATGCCCTGATCGTAAGTGTATATGACTTTAACGATTTGTTTCCTGGACAGATTCTACACATACCTGGTTAAATGATATTCAGGAACAGCATCAGTTAAAAAATGCTAATGAAGTTTATATTTTTACGCACATTAACATTTGTTTTAGTAGTGGTTAAGGTCAACTTGAATTAATATCGTTTAACATATATAAGTTTTACGTTTAGGCCTGGGCTCCTACATTGAACATCTTATTGAATCAAGTTCATTAAATTCATGAAATGTGATATTAATAATGTTTGTATTAAATCCACGGGTATTTTTTGAACTGAACTTTATTTATGCATCGTGTTACCTTTTGATATAGAATTGAAATTGTTTATGTGTTAATGTCCGTTTTCCGTACTGCGTTGTTCACATTATATTTGTGCACTGTCAGTTACAAATGTCCTTATCTTTTAAGATAAATATGCCCCATGCTGTCGTTAATTTACTTGTCAAGTTATATGTTGATCCAGGTGACAGACTTATTCTCTCACTTGAAAACTTGTCCTTTGCGTTTTGTTGATTGTACATAATGCATCTAAATTATTCTACAAATGACACTTTCTGCCCTTTATCTTATTTAAAACATGAAATGTCGCACTAACTGCTAACCGTTTGTGATTTCGGGAGATTGATTGCCCTTTACCTGGCAGACGTAATACTATTGATGTAGATACTATTATTTACTCTTTCAGGCCATGAAACCAAGGTCAATCTGTTTTATTTAGATAATTGATCTTGATTTATTTTAGTTTGGTTTTATTTTGTTTTGTTTAACGTCCTATCAACAGCTACGGTCATTTAAGGACGTGCCTCCATATGTATTGTGTATGCTTGCCTACGTGTGTTTTTGCGGGAGACAGGTTAGGTTGGTATATTGATCTCCTTGCGATACGCTTATGTCAGAAGCAGTAGTATCAATACAAAAATCCGCAGGGATGTGTCCTATTTTAAAAAAGAAATGTTCCGTACAATATCATATTTTAATTTAGTGAGTTTTAATTTTTCTAACGTTACTTACAGCTAATGTAAATTAAGTAAGAACGTGGCTCATTGTGTATAATATATGCCTGCTTATCTGTACGTGTGCTGGAGACTGGTTTTGTTGATGCCTTAGACTCATTGTGATGGCGCGGATCTGATGCCGGCTTTATAGCGCTATCTAACTGAATATTGTACTGTACATTTGTTTTCAAATTATCATACATCTCTGCGATTTTTTTTTGTAGTTACTTTTGCATCTGAAATAAACATATTTGACATATTGACAATAAAGCTGTTTAGAGCTGTATAAAAGACTGTCTAAAGCAACTTTTACTAAGGATTCGCCAATAACATACATGTGTCAGTGTTGTGCTGGGATATGACAGTGGTATTAGTCTAAAAGCCATTATATACGCCTTAAACTCTTATCAACTCCGTGAAATCATACCTTAGACCATGTTTAGACAGTAGATGTGCCAACATTGACAAGCTGTAGTCTTATTAAGAAAGAGCTAACGTACTTCCCAATCATCATTGACGTTCTGCGTAATATCATCNCCCCCCCCCCCCCCCCCGGACAGGAAAACAACTTTACATATTATAAATTATAAATAAGCTTTACGGAAGCTTATTGGGTTATTTTTATACATGTATTAACACCAAAGGTATGCTGTAATTATATATTATTGTAACAAATTATGGGTTAATTTACACTACAAACCTTTACTGTTATCTACATTATTTGTTGTTTCCCTATAAATATATACAGAAAGAAGTTTATCAATTACGTGAATGTTAACGTGTTGTGTTTAGTTGTAAAGTCAAGCCCGAAGACGTACTAGGACTTTTATGTTTATGTAAATGTTAACTCATCATTTGTTTAAGGAAGTAATATTTCATCAGTTTGCTCATGTATACATAGAAATAACAGGGATATTTAATCACCTAGCTTACGCCTAGTTATAGATTGCTTCAACGGAATATTAAATATAGCATTTCCGGCAAATTAAGTGGGAAAAAGATATCAACTATTTAAAACGTTGAGATAAATAAAAAAAAAACATCCTCTGTACAGGTATATGAAATCAGCCACAGATTTATTCTACTGACCGAAATAATATATTAAATGGCAACTAGGGATAATTAAGCGGTATCTAACACATCTTTTAATCAGTTGGTATTAGTCTGTGTTATGGCCAAGTACACGTGGTTAAATGAACCCCTTCCATTATTTGATTGCCTCAAACGTAAGTTGTCGGTAAAACAAACTTTTAGTTACTACTCATTTTACACATCTATGAAAGGGAAATATAAACATGCCGATGTCATGTATGGTGATGACATGGAGACTGTGGTCATATCAAGTTCAAATCGGCGACAAGGAATACAGAGTGATGACATAAAATTACTTGTTGAAGGCATTTGTGGAATGCAAAGAGGATTGAAAGAACCTGAACATGTCGAAACACAGCACAACCGAGTCATTTGTTATCAGAAGAGCTTTGTTTCTGAGAATAACTTGAGGTCTTTCTATTAGACTCAGTGGTGACATCCTTATACACATTATATACCATAACAGGCAACAGTACTTAATATGTGAATTCAGTTATTTAAAGCATCCCAAATATTAAATAGGTAACATTTTGTTAGATACTAAGTCACCTTCAATAAAAGCATCAACTGTTTTCATCAGACCTTGGTATCACTTGCGTTTAAGCTTTAACTTAAGCACATTTGATGTTTAATTCATCGTAAAATCTATGAGACAAAATTTCGATTAACTCTTCAGTTGGCTCTGAGGTCGTATGAAATATGCATTGTGGTCACTAGAAAATTATTTTATGTTTGTACACATTATTCAACGATTTTACCACAGAGCTGAATCATTGTCGTGTGTAGCTTCTAGAAAACTACTAAATTGTATAATCACGTAAAATGAATTTACTTTCTTTTAAGTACACTCATATCATTATATGTGTACACGTGTGTACACTATTTTGTCGATCATAGATGGACTCATAAAATGTATTCGACGACAAATGATCATGAAGAATTAAGCGATATCTGAATTAAATGCATTAATTGCGACAATATCCATACAATGCAGATAAGTTTAGTCTCGCACGCAACAAAATCTCAACTTACAACAAATGTTCGACCACACACTATATGTTTCGTTAAGTAAGTGCGCCCGAAATTTTAATTGATAATGTTACTTATGGAATTATGGAATCAATATTTCGCAAATAGCAAGATCATGAAGTATATGGCCTTTTTATAGGGGATTTGCCATATTTACCGAACCTTGACACTAAAGGTACATAATCTAAAAAAATATTTTTAAATCAAACTATCTCTATTTTACGACTATAACGAAACAAGATATGTCAACTTATATTAAACGATCTTGTTGGCACGGCTTGCTGGGTGAATGGGGTCTATATATGAGTATTCAACAAACGTCTTCATAGTAGGGTGAGAGACCAAAAATCCTTTCACATCCGAATAGAAGGTTAAGACCCTGTTGTCTTGGTGATAGGTGAGGGCGCTATCCTCTGCTCCAACCGACCATCAAAATAAAAAATTGCACAAGGAGGTATACCGTTTCCATTTATTAATACCTAGTTATCATCGGTTTTTTTTGTTTATTGATTTGTTCAACCACAACATGTTTGTGTTCATATTAATACTCAAGGGCGAACTGTTATTCCCGAATATCTCAAAAGTTTGTTTCAAATAATTAACTACTTTTATAGTACGTTCAGAAAACATTTTCACTCTTTTAGCGATTGATTTCAACCATAAAGCCCCTGCGATGTGGTTTATGTGCATTATCATTGTTCAAATCCAATATGTGTTACTACATTATTCTTTATCATCCTTGTGAACATATTATTGCAAAAAAATAAAAAAGACCTTTCTACGAGAATGATACTGTATTTAAACAAACAATACAATAAGTAAAACAAATATCATAATCTAAAATCATATTTATTCATACTGTATTTTATCACATAATGCACTGTATTATCCAGTGAAAATACACATGTCATACTTTTTTGGCGTATTAACCCATGTAATATGACCTGTGATTGGTTGAAAGTTTCAATTGTTTCAATTGTGACGTCACTCTAGGACAAGTACATGACGTCACAGACTTACGCACTGGATATACACGAATAAATACCACACATCTTCATTATGTAATAAAAACGATCTTTCATTCGTTTTCATTTCATTTGAAGTTCATGAAACTCGTAACGAATTTTTCATTTTAGCTCGCCAGAGGCTCGCTTAACTAAAAAAATCTTAGACTCGTTTCATAAATCTCATATGAAATGGAAACTCATGCAAGATCCTATATATAAATCAGATATGTTCAACTACATGTAACTGTTCATCTACGTGTATCATTATATATATTAATTGGGCATTGTATAATGTAAACAGGGTAATGCTGCTAGTTATGCTTATTTCGTGGTTTCTGGGATACGATCTATCAGAAAATTCAATATGAAGTGACCACATAAGCAAATACCTGTTAACAACGTTATGAAAATGAATGAATGAATAGTTAAAACATTGTCGAATTAACTTAATTACATATTATACATGACACCATGATAGGAACTGACTATATACCAGGAACACTTTTCGATGTTCATCTTTCGTCCTTCATAGGTAAAATTCTTATTTGCTCAACACTGATATCACCTTTCAGATGTCATGCAGTTATATTTGCTGTGAAGCTGAATTCACTCTCATTATGGAGAGCAAGAAGTTCGAAAGTTCATTTACGGCGACGAAATATACAGAAGGGTATGTATTGAAGTATATGACATTCTAACAATGTGTTTCAGTACGATGTCAATAGTTAACAAGGTTCCATTAACAAGTTCTCTATATCAAAGTATGCAATAAGGTCATGCTTTTGTTTCTTTATCGCTGCAGTAAGGAAACATCAATAAAAACAAAATTACGTGTAAACAAACAAAACTTAACGAATGCTAAAAGTGTATGAACAGCCAGGAAGTATAAGCAAGACTTATTCTAATTTGATGTTAAGCCAAACGAGTATTGCTAATACGGCGCACAGCACACCAGCACCGTTTTGGCAATAGGCGGAGTTGATCCCTGTAAAAAAGAAAACTTTGAACACTAACTTGACGAATAAAGCGATATCAATATAAGTTTTATAATCTTGCAATTTCTTACATTCCATTGTAATATATACAAATATATATATTTCTTTTGTAATCAAATTGAATGACCAGTATCGAGGAAAGTTATCCAAAATTTATTGTTTCTCTCTTTCGAGAACATTATCAGAACATATGTATATACAAGATATTCAAAATTATATCATCTTACATGATGTAAATTTATATCTGTAATGAAAATGATAAAGTATTTCTTCGATAACAGTGTTGATCATGAGAGTCATCGTGCTTTACTAGATTTACCCTCCACAGTAAGAAATTTAGATATACGTTCTAACTACATGGTAATAACAATCTTACGATTACGGATGCCTCCGACATTTTGTTTCCAATAATCTCAAGTTAACCTGACTGAAAGTGTCTAAGTAAAACTTCAGTATATGTAGTACTAAGGCCTTACCTACTCTAAATAACAATTATAACTGGGCAGCACTAAAATGTCCACACACACCACCACTGTGTGCTTACCCAGTCATTGACAATCCAGAGCAGGAGCCGTGTTGAAGGAGTATTCATATAGACATGTATACATACACAATGGGACTAGAATTAACAGTTATTTCAAATTCTGTTCAGACACAAATAGCATAATTAGGATGTAGGCCTTACCTTCAGTTTCAATTGGTTGTGTCTCACGGCTGAATGAGGGGGATATGTCTGTATTAAAGAGGAAATTATTACAGATCAGAGTGAAAACAGTTGATAGAAAACTTTCTTTTGTCAACAAATATTTTGAATGCAAATCGGCCTTGACTTGGTAAAAAATATAAATTGAAAACATACACATATGTACATTAACGTATGGATTTTAAACTTGATTTCATTAAGAATAATAAATTGTGGTCACGATCCTATAGACTTTGATTAAATCAGGTCTAGGACTCGTCTTTAACATTCGGCTGAGACTTCATACACTGTAGCCGTATTACAAACAATAACTTGTTACCCATGTATTCATTAATCTATTACGTATCCCTTTAAACACTTTTGCTTATTATATACTCGTATTGCGATATTATACATATGAACCAGTGCTGTGATATAAAACAATTTGTGTACAATGTTCCTGCGTTGTGATGTCATACACATGTGTATAATGCACCCGTCCTGTCATAGATTTGTGTGTAATGTACAAGTGCCATGCTTTTATACATTGGTGTGCAATGCATTGTGATTTCATTTAATTCTGTGCAATTAATACATACTGTGATTTTGTACATTGTTGTGCAGTACACCTGTGCTATAATAAAATACAATATTAAAGATATTTCTCCACAGTTAAGTGACAACACACAGTAAATGAAATAAGTGTGTGAGTCCTTGAACACCCTTTTTCTTTTTATGTTAAACGCCTAAAATTGTGAACATTTCAGTGTACTTACCACTCGATCTTCCGTCAATGATAACAGTAATGCTGTCAGCAAAAGCCCCGATCTTACACTCGTATGTAACTTCATGTTCTAAAACCGTCGTGAAAAATGTCAGTGTGGACGTACCAGTATATCTGCAAAGGTGGTCTATCGGGAGATCGATGTTTTCTAAAACAAAAACATCTTCGATTACTCTCGAGTTCGTGTAACAGTAAGTGGATTCTACCCATGACAGTCTAGCAATATTACACTATGATCGTTAAAGGAGAACAATGCTGGCCACCTTGGGCTAGTTTTTCCTTCTGCTATCTGGTATGAGGTACGAGAGAGAGGCCAATATGAATATAATGCGTCATTGCAATCCTTTTCCTCGTATATACTGCGTTGTATACTGCGTTGTCCAAGTATGCCTTATAAACGCATATAATTTAGGAAAAGTGACAAAAATTAAGATCTGAATTCGATTTTTACAACAAATATGTAACAGATTATGGTTGTAGCAAGAATCTTATATCAGTCGATCTTGCAATTGAATAGAACCGATTAATTCTTTTTTATCGTTTGGAACAGGATGAACTTTATAAAACTAATTAGTCCGGTTCGTGATAATATGGTGAAGTGAAGACCCCTGACAAGCTTCTCCTTGCGGCCTGATCTGACCTCAGCCCGAAGAACGAATATTGTATCCTGATTTTAAAGACAAACCTGGTTGAATCCCTTCTGTAGTGTAGACGTACGCTCCAGCAAACATGTCATATTTGTACCATTGGATAGGCGCTTGTGGTTTTCCCACAGGTCCAGTACACGTCAAAGTGATATTAGCTCCTGGAGGAGCATGCGCCTCTTTCGTTGGGTATCTCTGATCATTAATAGTAATCACTGGTTCACCGGCATACGCTTTGTAACAAGAAATAATTGTTTCTGTTAATGACATCAATTTCTGTTAAAGAAGATATATTTATATATTTACATGCTTTTCATAGTTTTATCGGAACTCATTCTAATTTTATGGGTTTCAATATCTTAATTCAATATTGACCAACATTCTTTCTTTCTCGGTTGTTAATATTGAAACGTTACTTTACCAGCATGAACATATTTCACTGCTGTCAAGATCATAACTGTTCCCAGGAATTACATTTTGCTCAACACTTTTGAACTTTTTGCGGTCACCGGCTACTTCCGTATAGATAAACCCCGTCTTTAGATAAGTTAAATGAAAATGGAAATGTTACTGTTATAGCAACTCATGGCAGGATAAAGTTAATTGATTCCACGCTTCCTTTGATGACTACGAATATAACAAAACTAAATGCTCCGCGCACGCGCACGCGCATTACACCAATATTAATCATTTTAATTGATTATCGTCTAAAATAGTTACTCACTGTATATGGATAGTTCCTCCCTGACTGTTGTCTCTATCATGTTGTTCTCATTGTCAACTCCAAAGAGAAGACATGTATATATCCCTTCGTCATCACATTCTATCCTATGGAGTACCACCTGAATGAAAGCCTCGTTTAGAGGGTGTCGCCGGTACGTCACCGTACTTTTACTTTCTAATTTCTGACCATCGATTCCTGTCCCCCATTCCGGATCGGTTCCGTTCGTAGCTTGAAGTGTTAAATACGGTCGTTTCCATGAAACAAGGCTTTCCTTTTGGAGTTGAATAAATCCGATTCTTGTTAGGTTCTCAGCAAGGTTTCCGACATCACATTTAATGGTGACGTCGAAATAACCTTGGTACTGAACTTTTGATGGATTTATGCTTAGTAATAGTCCTTTAAAGACAGAAAAATATTTGTAATGTAGGACTATTTTATATCCCCTTTTCACCTGCAGATTTATTAGATAATTACTATTTGCAATTGTAAGTTATGGTAACAGGAAATGAAACAGCTACGAATACTATTTGTGTTCATAGAAATAACGTTAATGTAAATTACGCAACGAAAATAGGTTGATTGAAATAATATGATTAGATTATTAAGTATTTGTACCGTTTTTATGAAATAAAAGTCGGCAAATCTTAGCTAATTGCCCTGTTCTACCGTAACTAAGAACGAAAGAAAAATGATTAGAGGTAAATTAAATAATTAAAAAAGATTGCAGTAACGTTTTTCATTAGGCTTATCATTATTATATAACATCAATACCGTTAGAAACATATTTCATATTCCAGTCGTGTTTCTTGCAGCGAAACGAAACGATGCGTTCCCCAAGTTAACAACTGCTAAAGGTTGACAACTAGCAACAAACCATTTTCTGTTTCTTGTTCTTCTTCGTTTGCCTCTGTGTGGAGAATATCACTGCGTCTGTTGAAGATCGTATTAACTAGGTAGAAATAAAATACATTAAAATAAAAATATAAATAATCAGTTGAAACGAAAACAAATGATGTTGTTTCATGTTAAACAACTTGATAGTTTAGATAGTAGAATATGTTCATGTATGTACAGCTTTTTAGCTTTAATATTAAGTGCAACGAAAGACCAATTAATAACCACATTAACCGTCACGCCAATCATACCGCTTAGTAGTAAGCCGACAGTATCTTCTGTCCTAGCAGTTGGTAATGATATTATGATTTTGGGTAAGATCGTTTTAAAAATGTCATTTGTGTTATGTTAACCTTATGTTTGTGTGAGGTACATTGTTGTAACCCCCTTTTGCGTAAGTAAGATATCTCAAGAGTACTGAAATATAAATCATGGTATACTCAAAACTTTACCTTGCTGTTTATCCTGTAAACGATTTCCGTTAGTACAAATGTAAGATGTCTCTACAGTACTTAGAAATAAAACTCATGATATACTTACAACTTTTCTCCGCTGTATCTCCTGTCACTACTGTGATTGTGTCGTTCAAAGGACCAATTCCACATCTGACTGTAATTTCATTTTCATCGAGGGGCGCAGTTAACGTTAAGTAGCTGCTCCCGTTGTACGAGCACATGTTGTCCGTTTCCACCATCAGCGTTTCTTTAGAAATTAAAAAAAATATCGGAAAAAACGTATGAGGAGACTAAAACGCAAATTTCATCTTTTGCGCATATCGTTTCCGATATAATGATTGTCATTATTATAATAATATCATCCAAAGTTGTCGAAAATGTGCTTCAGCCGCAATGATTACGAAATAAAGAGCACGCGAAAACATGGTGATTTACGAAATTTTGGATAAATTAGATGTGTCGAAAAAAGTAGGTCTTGTTATTTTATGTTTTTTATTTCTCTTTACACTTCTTCGTCTCTATTTGTTTCATTTTGTGCGTTTATTCATTATTTCATTTCTCACTAATCTTTGTTACTTGAGGAATTAGTATTTATGAAGTCATAGCAAAATTTGGTCTCTATGCATATGCATATTACATGAATCGCGTTGGTATCTTATCTTTAACAGGAATGCAATGATGTTTATGTTCATTTCGGTTAGCATCATAACAATGCTCTTAGGACAGCATTTCTGTGGATGGTAAACAAATGACGTCTGATTTACCTAATGAAGCCCGCTGTTGTATCAACACGCAAAACGATGAGATAACCCAAGTTCCGCAAGCAAATCATTTGCGTCAATGAATACAGAATGTAAATATATGCATGGAACTTCTTGCTTGATTATGGTTCATTAGTAACGAAGCATACTTTCTTTTGCAGATAAGCATATACGAAACGGAATGATAATAAAAGTAGTGACATACCTTCACTAACATGCTCCTTTAAGCTCACAAAAGCGCCAGCTTTGTCGATGAACTGGTACCATGTAATAGGCAAATGTGGTTTACCGACCATGCCATTACAAAGAAGTGTTACCTCACTACCACGGGTTACCGTTAACTTCTTTTCTGGGATTGTTGTGGAGAAATAAGTTATGACTGGTCTCTGTCCAAAGGCTTTAATAATAAACAAAAACAATGTTAAACTATGAAGATTAAAATATGTTTTTTTATTTTTTTTTTTTATTCAGGTGCTCTATCACTCAACATTTTTTTCTAACTGGTTTTTTTTGAAAAGATTCGAATGTAGGATAGTGGTGACAATGATAGATTTATAATTGATATAAACAGAAACGACACTGCAGACCACACAGAAGCATATTGTGAAAATATCGTCACGTTTGTTCAAAAGGCAAAGCATATCAAATATATTTCTTCGGTGATCCGCTCTCTTGGCCGACGAGTAATTAACATACCCTGTATGGTACCAATTATGACTACCTGACCACAACTGACCAACATTTGACAACTACTGACCCACAGTTGACCAGTTCTGATCACGACCTGACTACATACAGCTAACCTTTACTTAACCGCTTCTGGCCAACTTTGGACCACTACTGACAACACTTGCTTATTACAGACTAACCTTTGTCCACTTGACCACTTCTGACCACCGCTTATTGCAATTACAATTTTGGTTAAAATTAATCGGATCTAATGTTAGAGGTAGTTATACAATTTCTCATTAGCCAACTTGGCACATGCTGGTTAACCGAAGGACAGTTCTCATGGAAAGATTGCCATCTTAATGCCAGAGGTGACTTTTAATGCAAATAACAAAATCGGAATTTGAACATCAAATCGGGAAAGGTAGTGCAAACTATAAACAAATGCAAATGTATCCTAGATAAAAATACAAGCATATTTTACTTTATCGTCGACACCCGCAATGTAAATATGTGTAAATGCAAGCCATGACAGAAACATTGCAGTCAGCACACTACGATAATCTAAATTGACAAAAGGCTATTTTCCTCACCATGCTAATCGTCGCTGCTTTCAGAAAGACCGCATTTTTTTAGTAGACTAGATTGAAACATATTAGTGGTGGGATGCTGCATATTGTATATGAATGAAATATATTAATTCGGACTACCTACGAAATAGTACTTAAAAGTATTACTTAGTTTTATTCATGTCATTATCGTGCGCTCACATGTGGCTTCAATCCTAATTTAGGTTGCTTATTGATTTGCATTTTACCAGATCTTTTATGATATGCACGACATATTATATTTTATTATACAAGTACAAAGCATTTGAGGTAAAACACGGATACACAGGTAAACTGTGTCCGGCATGAATTAAACATTCAAAACGTATGTGTTTAAAATAATTGAAAGACAGTTTATATACTTACAGTAAACAATTAGCTCTTCCCGAATTGTTTCCTTTACCGTTTCCTCGTTCTGATTCAATCCGAAAACTTCACAGGAATATACACCATCATCTCCACATTCAATCTGATGCAGCGTAACTTCTAAATAAGTTTCATCCAATGGTTCCAGCGAATATCTCACAGTGGTCTTTTCGTCCATTTTCGCATCATCAATTTCGGATCCCCATTCTGGCCCCGTGCCATCACTTATTCGCAGAACCAGGAACGGTGTCTTGTTCATTAAAAGATTCTGTTTTGATATTTGCATCCATCCAATTGTTGCTAAGTCCGATTCTCCAAGTTCACAGCGGATCGTGACGTCATCATTGCCCGTGTACTGTATCTTGTGCGGCTCAATCGTTAGGACAATTCCTAGAAAGTTCAACAAAAAGGTGTAATACCGTCACTAACCTCATCTATCGCATATAATTTAACTCTATTAAACAACTGTCTATTCAAAAAATCATAAAACGATTAAACGGCTGTTTTTCAAATTGCATGTCTGTATTAAAACACTGTTCAATTCATATATTTAAAGTGTGTATTCTGAACTTATGAACTATCATTGATCTATCTAAATATATATCGTATGTCTTTATCTTTTAGATACTGAAGTGTCTGTGTCATCAGTACAAATGATGATTTTGGAGGAACTTTTCGCCACCAAAATGATTGCTCCTAATGGTTATTTTTTGTACTTCGAGGCGGAAAAAATACTGCAAAATAATGTTGATCAAACGATATTTATATTTTTTCTTTTGGCAAATGTAGTGTAAAGTTGCATGAATCGACATAACATCAAGATAATAAAGACGTCACGTTGAGACCGCCGAAGTAATTAAGGTCTCATTAGCATTTAAGTTGCTTGATGAACCGAATATCTGACTAATTATATATCCAATAAAATGATTTTCTAGGTAAGCTCGTGAGTTGTTTTTTTTTAAATTCTTCAGCAATAGTTTGAGAAGGGACTGACAGGGTTAAAGGGCCCTGGTTCAATACCCGAACAACGAATGCCCTCAACGAAAGAGGGTTTTCGTTCGCCATACATAATGTACTTTCACTCAATTTATAATCATTTTATTTTGTTAAATTTCATAAATACGACCATGCACACCTGTCTCTTTTTTCTGACATGTCATCATCATCATAATAATCATCAACAACATTCCACTCATTATTGCATCCATACACAATGCGTTTATTAGTGTTCTACGTAAATGAAAAAAATGTTCGCACATTGTGTTCCAACATGGCCAGCTACCTGACGAGTTCCTCAACGAGTTGCCTATTGGAGTATGTAAGTGTTACATGTGTTGGTTTGTGTTCTTTTTTATATCAATTTGTCATATGTTGGACGTCTGAAATATACTGGTTGCATGTTGTATTCCATGCTAATGTTCATTGCACTGAGGAGTAGCAGGAGTAGCGAGCCCCTTTGATGCATGGTCGTTTTACTGTGTTGTGTTTGCTAAAGTGTAATCGCGTTGGCAACCGTTTGTAATGTATTGGATTTATTTTTGCTGCTGCTAATCTGCATTTGGAAAATATTATGTAGTGTGTTCTTGATTATCTGTAATGTTGAAAAGACGGTCTGTGTTTTTTGCTGAGCTCGTGAGGTTTAAGATCTACTCGCTGAAGCTCGAAGAATATACTCAGGAGTAAAATCAATCTATACTTTATACTTTGTAACAATCACTGATTATTACAAATATGTTATATGTGTTAGTGTATTTATAGCATTGTCGTCTGAGAGTTACTATTGTATACGTTCCTGGGACCGTCGGTTTACCATTTCTTCTTACACAACAGGGTTCTTATTGTTTAAGGAAGTATAGAAGCAGGTATTCGTAAATACATGTGATCACCAATGCCTTAAGGTAATATTTCGGATAAACATAGATAACCTACAAAAGACAGTGTAAAATCATAAAATTATAATCTGAATACAGTAAAATAGTTAAGTCTGTTATCCGAAAGTGTTTTATTATTGAAATGTTGTGTTGTTGTTTTTGTATAATTTGGTTTACCGTCCTATCGACAGCTAAGGTCATTACAGAACGTGGCTCCATGTGTCTAACACTTGTGTGTATACAGTATTTGAACGTGTGCTGGAGGCAAGGTATGTTGGCGTAACTGCCTCTTTAGCGTGGATCTGATGCCGACTTAATAGTGATATCACAATTAAAATGGAAAATAAAGTGATATGTCTTCTTAATCGACAAATTTACATACTACAACACTCCATTTTTCTACAGAATCTCCTGATTTTCTCTTAATCTCATCAAACTGTAAGCGTCATTTTTTTATCAAAACGAAAAAGGTATAGCTATGCATGAAATTTTCAATCAGTTTGTGAGAAGGCTCATCACATCTTCGTTTATAACGAATATTAGAAAAAACTTCGTCGTTAATATATGATTTCTTTAAAGCTATTCACCATTTAAAATGTAATAAAATATCAATACAAAATCTTTAAGTAAACACGTCACTTAAATATAGACCTTTTAGACACCATCTTAAGATAGATAGAACAAGATAAGACGGAGGTATTCTAGGTATAAAACGCGCCTGTCTATTGCGATAAGCTTGTAGACAAACACAAGCCCGCACTACTAACGACCTACATAGTGACTACCGATCTCAACAACAAGTCCAAAAATCCGGTCACTGAATAACACCGACATATGAACTTCACACGATAAAGGTCAGCAAAGTTACGTCTCTCACTGCCGTACAATGACCGCTTTTAACACATTATACTTCTGTTTTCGTTCCAAAAGTTAGAGATAAAATACAATCTTCGTTAGGATAATCCTATGTACACTTATATTACTCGTGATAATCAACTATGATAATGGTTAATGAAATGGCCATAACTCACTTAAAAAGTAATATGATATTGCTTTACGTTGTTTTTTTGCATTAGATAATACAGAAGGCTTTTAACCTGTTGAACATTAGTTTAATAATGCTTAGGTCAAGCATGGATATATTGCATACCGAGACCTTTTTGTGGCATTTAGATCAAGTCTTGGATGCCCTCCGTAACGAGATCGAAGTAAGAATTACACAGAATATAGACAGACAACATAATAAACATTACAATTTCACGTGAAGGGCGAAATTCACATTGGGCGAAAAAATAATTCATTGGAGAAAGGCGAAAGTTTCACTTGGCCAAAATTTCCCGATATACAGTATAACGACAGCAACATCGTGATCCAGGTGTTTCGCTCTCGATTCACATACATGTCATCACATCTACGTCTCTGACCACCGTGCAATGACCGCTTCTAACACATTATACTTGAACATCTGGATTCGTTCGAAATTGCAGAGACGAAATAGAGCCTTCGTAAGGGTAATCACTTGTACACTTATATTATTCGTGATTATCATTAATGATAATGGTAATTGATATGATTATTATTCTATTAGAAACTAATATGATATTGTCGTTATTATTGGTTTTCGTGCATTCGCTAATGCATATGGCTTTTAACTAAAATATTGTCATGATATATCTCAAGGGTGTGCAGAAGATAAATGAATGAACAGCTTAATCCTTGGATTAACTAAAATTACTACAACTATACACTCGGTATACTTATACCTGCTGACACTTTCTGGATCCCAAATCCATACAGATTCATTATATAATTAATTGTACAGAACAAGTTTTATGTCATATCAACAGAGATAAGATAAAACTTTGACATATACATTATTTGTACTTTACCTGTAGCTTGAGAGAGAATGCCGGCGAGGGTTACATATAGTCCAAACCATCCCATGGTGATGTGCTCTAAAACATGCTGTGTTACTCTTCAATACAATCTAAAATGCTTTTTATATAGTGAAATAGGTTCGAGGTATGCCGTTTATATGATTCCGTATACACTCCTGGGTTAAAGGTTCATCATTATATTGCTGGTCCTGGGTGACGGGTTCCCAGACGTACGGTGTGTTACCTAACTGCACAGGTATTACCTATGGTTTATCATTATAAATCTGACATTGACCCGTTAACAGTAATTTATTTTCTTGCTTTTAGATTACTCACTCTTCCGGGCTTTACGTACATATGTGAAATCGTAACTTCAAATATTAACATGTTCATTATTTTACCTATTTGTGATTCAATGCATAAATATGTATACTGATTTTGCTCATTGTTAATAGGTAATAAGTTGATGTCAATGTTAAGAAATCAGTATTAATAAAGGCAGTGAACGTCTATTTTTTGTTTTGAGTGCTTCTTTATCATTAAACTAATGTCATAATAAAACGATAATAATGATGGACGGGGTTGTAGCTGTTAAACACCTGTTAATCAAAACAAAAACAATAATGGCAGCATAAATATAAAAGTCCTTGCTAGACCTCACAGACTTTATACACTTCTGTAATATTTTGAAGACACAATCGCATATAGCTCCTCGTAAACGAGGCCAAGTTAAAAGAAAGAAAATGAAACAAAGGTAAAAAGTATATCTAGAAAGTATTCTGCATCGAGAGAGTTATGTTTGATGTAGGGACCTGCATTTCATTTCGTGCGTCAAACGCATTTTTGTACAAAAATCGGTTAAAATATGTGTGAGAAAAGAAGCAAAACGGAAACCTTAAATAAATAAGAAGAATTCAAAAAAAAAAAAATCGCCCAAATACACCTTATCTACTTCTAGCGTTGCTTCTCCGTTCTTTCATTACTATGGAGTGCATTCCAACAAAGTCATGTCTAGAACTTACCTAAGGCAGGTTAAGTGTTCGTTGTTTGCTTTACAGCAATTTACAGGGTAAGTGATATTGGTATTTATTACATACATAGTGAACAAAATTCCTCACGGTAAAGCAGCGACCGTACTGTATTAATGTATATAAAGTATAGCTGATTAAGATTTATGCCTGTATGTGTTACATACGTATTCAATCACTGAAAAAATACTTAGGAATTGTAAGGAAATGCTGATAAACTGCTCAATACGGTCATTTCCAGAGCCATTTGCCCATATATGCCCACATGTTACATGTCGTCTCCAATCAAACTAAAAAGAGATAGAGGAATGTTAGTTGTTTATAATCTAAAGCACAGTCAACACATACCTACTTTGTTCAGCTATTGACATGTTTTAAATGTCTGTGTTGAAACGAATTTCCTTTTATATCGTTGAATCGTGTGATGTAGTAAACACATACTTTAATCTACCAGAAACAGAGACATTGTGGAAATTTAACAGAAACACAGATTGTTCAGAGTGGATTAAAATGCAAACATTTCTGCCTGCACACCCATAACAACAGATTCAGATATAAAAATACCTAACCAGGAAGGTAATATATAAAGGGAAATAACCCGATAATTTCTCGTAATTTCTTATCTGTTTGATAATCTTAAACAGCCCTTTTCGGACGTGTACTGGTAGGCCAGAATTCAAATATATTCATAGGAGGTGATTTAAATATTGATCATTTGCATCTTATAATGATAACAAAAATAACAAATCGATGGAAATGATAAGGCTATAAATAGACCAGAGAACGTTAAACGTGTTAAAATAGGGTTGCAGAATAGTTTTTTGTCCCGCCCTGTTCCTACAAGAGAGCAAAGCAGTCAACCATCGGGTCTGATGGGGTCACAAAGATGTTGAATTTTATTGTATGCTCATCCAATCGGACGTAGATTTATTTTCTAACGATTCAGAGCCCGCAGGGAGCAAATACACATTGAGATTCAATACCCCAGAGTTAGCTATAGAGGACTATGTTCATCGGCATTTGAACACATTTAGTAAACAGGAGGAGATGATATATGAATCATATTTTTTTTATAGACTTTGTTTGCGATATGATGGATAAATATCGCATACACAGTGACATGACACTTCCTGAAGGGGTTAAATCAGATACAACTACTTCATGTTCCTGTGATAACAGTCGATAAATCACTCACATTGACCTATCGAATATGCTGTTATATAGTAAACTGTTGGTTGAATCAACAGGAGGTTATTCATAACTTAAGGGGTCGACCTCGTGGAATATGAAAAGGTTTGTTTTGTTTGCTGCTTGCATGTCCTCTCATAATGGACACAAACAAATCTCCCCACATTAACGCATGGTTTCTTTGACACAATATTCTTATCACATTGTCAACGCTTAAGGGCTAACCATAGATTTCTGTATAGACTTCATCAAACAAAGAAAATGCCAGAAAGTAATAAAGACATCAAGGTAGAACATGTTGCAATCTGGGTTTAATATGATGCAATGGGATATGAATATATATCAATATTTGAGTTTGTTTAAACTTTTCGTGTCCACGTTTCCAAGATATAAACATCAGAACAAAAAAAAAGAACAGGCATTACATAGAGAATAATACATGTCTTTTTCCACATCACACCCAGTTTTAACCAGAGACTGCAATATCAGCCCAAGGCCAGAAGGCCCGAGGGCTGATATTGGTCGAATACAAACTGATAAAAACTACTATCTTATGATCTATTTTTCTTTTTGAAAAATTGAAAAACGGAAAAAAAATCCAAAAGGGGTGTGATATGGGTTTTGGGTTGTGATACGGCGGGGGCTGATAAGGGTTTTGGGGTGTGATACGGCGAGGGCTGAAATGGGTTAGAGCAAATTTGTCGTATCGTATATACAAAAAACCCGTATTTATTAGTAAGTATGTAATAAAAACCATTTCATGAGCATGCAATGTATTTTGTACAATTAACATATTTTCAAACCACCACATCATTGACATAAACGTGTCAGTATCCTTTTTTGGTATCATTATAAGATCACTGACCAAAAGCCTCCCCCTCGATTGGCTACCAGGAAACTTATTCCTGTCACACAACTTGCACGAACTATTGATTGATTATTTGATTGATTGATAGGTGTTACGTCCGCTTTATTACCGAGTATTTCGGTTATCCAGCAGACAAATAACGAAATACTAACATTAACTTTTTTAAAGCCGTGCATTTTGTGTTACATTATGATTGTAGGAATTGAAATTCTTGTATGTAGTGTTTTATTTTCAATATTGAGTGTATGCCAATCCACCAATGCGCATATTAATTTATAATACGTTGTATAGTTTATATAGTCCGCTGAAATAAAAACTCGCTAAAACTAGTACTTATACAGTATTAGAATACCATCTTGAAAACTTCGACAAACGATCACTCTATATTACACGACCTCGTACTATGTGTATCTGTAGACTAAACACGTGTTTGTTCCCACCTATCTTTTACAAATGTGTATTCCCTTGTGTATAGAACTGTATATGATTCAGTGTTCGGTAAACTTGACCAACTTTTGCCGTAAAATAGGATCGATACGTATTAGTAATACGCGTATATAACGATATCCCTATTACTGTGCCAATCTGATTTCGTCAGGTATTACATCAGCCACGGCTTCTACTAGGATTTGAAAGTTCATAAGAAATGTATTTTGCATATGCGCAGTTGATCCCTCTGAACTTGAATATTTGACAAGGTCATTTACATGAATAAAGTCGAAAGCCCCAATTTCCTTGCAAGTACATGTATAATGCTTTCAAACATCTCACAAAGAATGAATTTATTGACATACGTCATCCGTTCGACCCTGCATGTTGGCAATTTAGTAAATCCTAATCCATTTTGATGCCTCTCATCCTTTTGTAAGCTGCATGTCAAATACATCGTAACATGACTCGATGCATTATTGTTCTTTATGTGACATGAAATATTTCGGCGGACGTATGGACTGCAAGTTTTGGTTGGGATTGCATGCTGTTTTATAAAGTAGCGTGTCAGGCAAGTGATATTTATTCAATTGATAAACACGTACCACAAAACACAACAAGATCTAGAACTGTCTCGAACGTAGGTTATACAAAAACATGTTTATAAATAAAAATTACTATGGTCTGACTATCGACGTCAAATGTATGATACGTCAGGCATTATCTATAAATGTGGACATTATAAACCCACGTCGTAAAGATAAGATCAGTTGAAGCTAGGTCGTTTTGATTAGCCTATAGATCGCCTAACAATGGTAAGTATTGTATTTTGGTTATTTGATTATTGCGTTTTCTTTTTAAATATCCTTAACGAGGTTATAATGGGGGAGATTGAAGGAATTTGAGTGGATTTATTGCTCAATATTTTGACATTTATAATTGATATGAAAGAATGAGTTTTGGATTCAACAGTTTTGTGAGTTGAATTCGATTTATCATTTTGACGACTAGCTATTCTGTTTTGAATTCGGTATTAAAATATATTTTATTTCCCTCACGTTATTGACCTCGTTAATATCTATGTATGTAATTATAATATTCACGATTTCAAATTATTAGCACAATAATATTTGGCTTTACCTTTTCCACAATCCAACATTCCATGGTTTTTTTTCGAATTCGTATTTTTAAAACAAAAGCAATTGCCCCTATTTGCTGCAGCCCTATTCGTGACTGCATGAGACAACTTATGTGGTATAACTTCATAGTATTGTTATCAATTAAGGAGACATTTGAAAAATAATTTAATCTACCGATTCCATCGCAAGATTCGCCAAAACTTTTTTCTTTCGATGGCAACTTCTTGGAGAAATGAGAGGTGGTTGTTCCGGTTAGCCTTTTGACAATATGATGTAGCTGGACTGAGTGTCATAGTACTGTGACATTGTAGATACAGACATTTTGGATGACTTTTACGAGGCCCCTTCGTTTGTTTACCTTTTCGGTGAACTAGACCTTAACAGGAACGCACAGAATTGTTATTTACCGTTAATCACTGTGGAACAACAAATCAGTGTTTTATTATACAGAAGTAATACATAGAAGTAGAGATGAATGTTTCGGTATCACAGATTCTATTGTATTCATTCCACCGTCGTAGTAATCTGTATGTCCTTGTCAGATGATGCGTCCGGTCTACGTGCATGTTTTACAGAGCTGTGTATAAGAAAATGTCAATGACTCGTACCAACAAAGGAATTGGTTGGTCGGCAATCCGGACCGGACAATACCTAAATATAGACACTCCTATGTGTCATCAACTACCATGCAAGTGATGAATATGGACGACAAATGCCATACTGCTGTACTCATCTCATAGCGATGCAGGCTATATTTAAACGTCAAAGCGATTTTCTTTTGTAAACGTTTGCAGTATATATTTGTTTCTGCGTAAAAATAAAAATAAAGATATCGAGTCAATATATGTATATCAATATAATATTATCGCACTTATCACATCATGTCGAAGTCATGTTAGCAAAACTATACAGTCAAGTTTGTAATATCTAGTCTAAAACATCATATAGGCAAGGTGGTGATATTCGTAAAAAGGTGTGCTCGAGAATTTTAGATGTCTAAGGCTTTAGGGTGTACTTTTTTTATTAAAAATAAAAATTTGACAAGATATTAACAAATGACTTACAAAGTGAACCACCCAACATACAGATAAACGAATGAAAAGAAGCCCGACTATCAAATAGTAACTGGAAATTAAATACAGAAGACACTAATCAATTCGAGTAAGTCGGCGTCAGATCTGCGCTATCACAAGGAGACAAGTACACCAACATATCCTGTCTCCAGCACACATACACACTTGCACGCTTAGCCAACACAGATGGAGGCACGTCCTCAAACGACCTTAGATTTTAATTGGACGTTAAACAAAATAAAACCAAACCAAACCAAAAATCAATTCGGGTCTATGGTGGCTCCTAAAATGTGTTTTATAATGTTCGTAATCAGTAAATTATAACCATTTTGATCTTTTGTATGTCTGGTAAAGATATAGAAAACCATATATAAGCAGAGGATAACACTTCAGTCACTTCTGAAAATAATGTGATTGAAGGTTAATACTAATATGCAAAAGATACCAAATCAACATAACTGCGTTATTGTAACACTTGATTCCAGGCTTGTACATCGCTACTATTGGTTATTTTTGGAATTTCCTTGCTCCACACTTCAAGAGGATTCTTAGCATCAGCTAACGAGACAGTGATAACTGAAACAAACGCCGGGTCTGGCTGTAAGTATGACATGAACATCAGAATGTCAACAAATCGGATATAATATATCGTAAATAGTGGGTGAAGTTCATATTGGTATTTTGTTCTGCCAGGCATAAAATGAAATGCACTATTTTGAATATGCATCCTTTCTTTTAAAGCTGGAAAAGTATTTACTATTGTCTAAGTTTATATAATTACTGTTCATACGATCTTTATGCTTTTATAGTGAAATTAATCATCGAAACATTATCTTTTAAAAAGCTCTTTTCAAGCTAAAACTAAATTCATAATACAATAGTCTAAATGTCGAAATTCGTCATTGTAAAATGTGACATAGTTTAGTTTTAGAAAAACAAACATTTTCGACCTTAAGTTAATTTACTGTTTAGTTTCGTTAAAGCGGGGTAAGGTTTCAGTTATAATTTGAGTTCGATTAGACCGTTTGTTTGTTTGTATTAATTTTCAGAAATAACGATAGATTTGATAAACAAGGGCGGGAAAAATACTCAATTAGATGGGCTAGAGTTATGGTCGCCTAAATTAATATTATTTTTCTACTGAACACATTTAAAATGTAGTACTACGACAATAATCAAACAAAGATATCCCACAGGTACCTATTCTAATCGTTGGGGCTGGTAATTCAATGCCATGAGAGACTTATTTTTAACCTTTGTTTGTAGCGTGCCCTGTCCATTGTAAAATAAAGCCTTGTGTCGCACAGGTGGGATGTTCTCTCTGCGAAAACGGTTTCTGTCTACACTACCAACGGAACGGAACCTCAACGTAAGTAATGGCTGGTTTGATGTAAACATATATAAACTAATTAAAGCGCATACGATTATTGTCTTGCCGAATTTACTTCAGTATTATATACCACATTCGTACCTTTTTGTTTTACCTTTTTCTCCATAAACTACACTTGTCCTCTATGTGATGAAGGTTGACTATTAATCGACTTAAATCTTATATTAACACCTCGTTTATATTTACAATTTTGTGTACACATTTTTGATTCTCTGGTAAATTGTCTCTGATGAAATAGGTCTATTGGACTAGTCATCGAGTATAAAGTTAAGCCTTTTTTGGTTTTCCAACAACTTGTCTACCCGCTCTCGGGACAATGTGAGAAGATTGTAGGCTGTTCTGGTTACCCTTGTCATTGTATTTCAGTGAGCCAAATATACCGAGATACCGCCTCCAGCACACATGTACATATACAACACACATTGAGTCACGTCCTTATATGACCTTAACTGTATCCATAGAACGATAAATCCGTGCAGTCTACAGTTGAAAGGTACATGGGAGGCCCCTATGTAAGACATAATACAATAGGTGACCATTTAAATATATATATAGGATTTTACATGAGTTTTCTTTTCAATTTCGATTTCTGCCTGGCAAAGCCAATGAAAAACACTCCTGGGTATACTACACTAGTGACATATGTAAAAATATTACATTGGCGAATTCACTTGATAGCAGGCCGATCATGGGATAAATTCATGTACGTAAAGCCCTTTGCTCCTTCCTGTGATGTGGTGGTCGGTGGTTTTGGTTATGGTCATGTTTTGGCCTTGTTGTTTCGTCGCCACTACTGTTGTTCTAATTTTAACAATTTGTGTTTACCCGGATTTGACCTACATTTAAATGGAAGATGTTGTCGATTCTTCAGACAACAATTATCCTTCCGCAACTCCTGGTCTTATTTTCCTTGCACTAGGGTGTCCATGTTAGTCTTTCTCTAGTCATAAGTTATAACTATAATTTGGCGATATCATTTTAATTCCCTGGTTACAGTTGTCGGTCTTTTTCAAGGTTAAATAAGCATAAGTCAAACACAAGCACTTGAGGGGGTTTGTGCTGTATATCGTGAGCTTAAGTTTACCTCTGTTCATTCCTTTTTTATTTAAGATGTATTTATGTTATTCCATTTTTTCACATCCACAAACGTTCGTACAGGTCAGTATGTATAAAACTGTTGAAATATATGCGGTTCAGTCTATCAGAGAAAGCTTTGAAATTAAACGCTCATCAAACCTGTCAACAATATAGTAGGGTATCAAATTTATTATTAGTTTTTAAAGTATGCGAGATATTTTTCTTTTTTCTTTTGTAAACATCTCAACGCACTATATGTCTTTCTTTACATACTCTATACCATGGAATGTTCATTGTGTATAGACTTGTGTTGTTTTCGTGGTTGCTATGTAACCACGGATATAAATAAACGAATCTTTCTGCAATTCGAAAGAATACAACCAACGAAAATGAAACAAATATATTATTAATGTATATACATTGTACGTGTATAACTATGAACATTGTAACAACTACGACGAAACGTGGTCTTATTCTAGTGTATATGCCGATGGTCAGATCAGGGAAAACAACTCACATTTACATCTCGTTTGCGAGCTAACAATGAACGTTTATACCCAAGAAATAAACTGAAAACTCCAAATCAAGAAAAAAAAATACACACGAACATGTCATGGTATACAGTATGTAGTACTGTATGATAATTCAATGTATCATTCAAGTGCTGGTCTTTTTCAGTTTAGGAATCTGTTTGGCATCCTGTCCATCAGGTTTCTATTGCGAACAATTCCGGTTTTCAATCTGCAGAGGTAAGCAATAATCTACATCTTACTATCATCTAAGTATCATACGATCAATAGATTGAATTAGGTGATTAGCTTTTATCTTCATCCATATCACGACTTTTTAGCATGTTAACAACAATTAATATTTGACTTAAAATTTTACGCCATGGTTATTAAGCATGTATGTAGACGTTTATCTGAATTTCTGTTTTAATAATAATAATAATTCGAAGTTCTTATATACTGCTTTTTCACAACCTAGTTCGTAGGTCGTCTCAAAGCGGTTCACAAATTATTATCCGTGGGCCTCTGCAACCAGCCAATATATTTTTCAACTCCATTGGGAGCATACAGCTGGAGCTGCCATTTCGACGCTCACAGCTAGCATGCAACAATCCTAGCACTGCACAACCACGTACTCAATTACAGCTGAGTAGACTGGAACAAGCGGAGTAAAGTGTCTTGCTCAAAGATACAACACAGTGCCGTGCCGTGACTCGAACTCACAGCCCTTCGGTCACGAGCCCGGCGTCCTACCACTAAACTACCGTGCCTCCTGACAGTTAATGAACAAGTCTAAAAACATATAATGGCTCTACAATTCAAAAGTGTTATCAACACCTGTATATAGAAGACGATAGATATTTTATCAATGTTCGTATGAATAAACATTACAATATATCTATAGATATTAACTATGCAATAAATATATATAAATAACATACTTACAATGAAATGTTTTTATGACAAACGATAATGTATACCATATCATTATGTAAGTGTTGTATATATTAGCGTTATTTTATATATTACGCAGCCTTTGATACAAAACGAAACAAACAAAAGGAATTAAAACAAAAATAATAAATTAACAAATTGAAAAAATATTTTTGGTCGGATTTCTTTTCTGCCACCTTAAAAGTAAGTATATCCTTAACCGTTGTTGCTGGCTATTGGTTCTCGGTTACGTGCACAATGGCAGTGATTTGGATATGACGACGACGACACGAACCTAAAGACACTGTGACAACCGTATTAGATACCAGTACATGTACAAGTATAGTCCTAAACACCTTGTATCGCTGCACTCATCACCTGAGTCTGACAGCATAACTGTCATTTCAGAGGGCAAATGTGCCTCGATATATGTCAGCTGCACTACCACTGCCCATTTACCTCGGTAGCCTATGGCCAACATTGAGTGTGATGATTACATTTGGTTACCAAGTAAGCCAAATGGCAATCGGCTTTTGCTTTACATGGCGAAGAACAATAGTCAAAATACAGATCTGAGAAGTAAACACACAATTCATTGTGTGTTGACCACCAATAGTGCACAGCTAGTGCATACATATGTAAACACTGCAGAAATACTAACGAAAATGTCGGTACAGCGGGAAAAGACCGTAGACAAGTTACATTGCTGACAAGTGTAGATGAGGTCACTCCCAGCCACCTTACTGATTAGGTTATCGAACACAACTGACAATGCTTTAGGTAAAATTCATGTTTCATTTTCGAGGCAGAGCGTGTTATGTTCAGTCCTTTTTTAGGAAGTGCTGTTACACGTATGCTAGGTGGTTGTATTTCTAATAAACATTCTCAGTTACAAATAGTCTGCAGGAATTTTAGAGCTACTACTGTGAAATCAGATATTTTCCTGGAGCCCACATTTCTTAGTTTTCAGACATAACATCATTTCGCGAGTACATGCATTTGTGGATTACGAGTACTGACTCAAACAAAGAATTTCTTTATATCAAACTTGTAGTTACTTCATGGACCAATACATAAGTGGATTTGGAAATCCCGCAACAATTAGTGCTTTCACGGTAAATCCGCAATGAATACGAACACTAACGCTCTTAAAGTGTTGAAACAGTTCACCTCGTATGCTCGATTTTATCCACATGCTCGCGATGAAAAAAAATGTTCTCACGACAAACACTGAAAATACAGTGTGGTAATCTATAATTATCAGAAAGCACGGCAGTCAAGTGGTAGGACGCAGCGTTGCGGGTTCGAGTCACAACCCGGCACTGTTTTGTATTTTTCAACAAGATGCTTTGCTCCGCTTGTTCCAGTCTACTCAGCTGTAAATGAGTACGTGGTTTGGCAGTGCTAGATTTGTAGAATGCTAGCTATGAGCGCCGAAATGGCAGCACTGGCTGTATGCTCCCCAGGGAGTTGAGACAGATATTGGTTTGTTGCAAAGGCCCTAAAATCACGGATAATACTTTTTAAACCGCGTTGAGAATGACCTACGAACTATGTTCTGATGAAGCGTTAAAGGAGACCTCGAATTATTAATATTTAAAAAAATAAGTTTACGTTTCTGATGGTTATCGTAGAAATCCGTGTGGTATGTAATATACAGTTTTGGCTGTATAATCACAATATACCAACGCAAGCATTACAAAAAGGATATATTTGCGAAGAGTTTACATAACAATATACAATATGATGTAGATAATATACTTTATATAGATAATGGATTATACAATGGATAATCCTACCACTAAAATACATATATTAAAATTGATACATAACATAGAGGGGAAAATATACACACACCTTATAAAAAAACTTGTAATGTCGTGGGTTTTATTCGGGAACGTAGGTTGATTAATATGTTTCGGTTAAGGATAATACGGCAATACTCTTATTCTATACTTTATGAAAACCCGTTTTTCATGAGATATTGATGTATTACATTTTTTTTAATACAAAATACCCAGATAGTTTAATTTTAGATTGCCTGTATTGAAAAAACAGATCTGCAAAATTAACTTTGTTTATTGTAAACACAAATAGTATGCATAATTATTTAAAAACAGTTTAGCAAGGGAGACAATTACAGCGTGATAGTTTGTGTGGTTTACTTGAGATATATGAGTTAATACAAACTGTTAGTTAAATCTAACTTTGTCAAATCAACAACTATCTGTTACTCTTAGGATACTTCGTCGTTATGTTACGTTCCTTGGTTCTGGTCTGTTGAATATGTTTGACATGGCATGGTAATTTGTGAACCGTTTTAAGACAACCTAGGTTGTGATTAAGCGGTACATAAGAACCTGAAATTATTATTGTTATAATGATGCACTTAATTTATTTATCATGTTTCAAATTGGTTAAAAGTTAATATTTGGTTTGAATGGATTAATGCGCGCCATTTTCGTTATTTCTGACAGCTTGCAAGGACACGAATTGTGATACCTGTGATTCTCGCGGAAAATGCACGAAGTGTAAAATTGGTTTCTCTCTTATGGCCAGCGACAGCACCTGCCAAGTCGCCGCTACAACTCCCTCCTTGACCACCGCTACAAAAACTGCGGATTCTACTTCAACTGACGCCATGACGTCATCTACTGATATAATGTCGACGATGGGCCAGGCAATGTCTGCATCAACACCGAAGGATACGACAACAAAGCAAGCTGAAATGACTACGACAGATTCGATGACGTCAGTAAAAATGGTTTCAGGGGCGGCGGGGCCTCTCGTTGGCTAATACAATCTCTTTAAACATGTTGCACAAAGACATACACTTTGGAGTGTCTATTTCAATAAGTCATGGTACCTATAAAGCAAAAATGTTGTTTTTCTATTAAAGATTGTGTTGATATTATACAATTTTTAATGTCTATCTTTTGGTACTAAATGTACTAAACACACAATGTTATCAGATTGTTGGACTAAAAAACCACTCAATAGTCTTATATTTATGTTTTGTTGTTTATTAGCATGCATTGTTAAGCGTCTTAGTAACAACTTATCCGAAAAAGAGAATAAACAACAAAGTAAAGAAGGTATTTACTGGTGAAATCAGGGTGACAGATCAAGTGTAACAACATACGCTCTTCCAGAAATTGTATATAGCTAGAATGTGTTAACGGGAGGCTACGATCTGAATGGGGTCCTGGAAAAGTTAATCTATTGTTAGGAGATGATAAACCATCTATGTCTTCGGGAATTATTTACTTATTGAAGAGAACGTAATATGACCGATATACATAAAATGATGTTAATTTCGGTTGGCATATTTCGCACAGATCTTGATAATGCATCGGATATCTAAATATACATGAAGCGTAGGGGCAATAGATGTATTTACAAGCATACGTGCAATTGCAGTTTATTTACACTAACATATAGGAAGGGACGAGAGGACGAAGCTAAAATAGATATAATGATATCGGTAAACTGTATACGTGTACATGTTAAATTAAGAGCCATTTGCTGTAAATAAGAGACGCAAATCTGAACGACGTACGTGTTTAACGACAAAGAACAGGTAAGAACTGCTGAGGACAGCTTGAGACGACCTTCAGTGAACGGGGAGAACGGTAAAGGACAGCTTGAGACGACCTTCAGAGATCAAGAAGAACGGTTAAGGACAGCTTGAGACGACCTTCAGAGATCAAGAAGAACGGTTAAGGACAGCTTGAGACGACCTTCAGAGATCAAGAAGAACGGTTAAGGACAGCTTGAGACGACCTTCAGAGATAAAGAAGAACGGTTAAGGACAGCTTGAGACGACCTTCACAGATCAAGAAGAACGGTTAAGGACAGCTTGAGACGACCTTCAGAGATAAAGAAGAACGGTTGAGGACAGCTTGAGACGACCTTCACAGATCAAGAAGAACGGTTAAGGACAGCTTGAGACGACCTTCAGAGATCAAGAAGAACGGTTAAGGATAGCTTGAAACGACCTTCAGAGATCAAGAAGAACGGCTGAGGACAGCTTGAGACGACCTTCAGAGATCAAGAGGTACGGTTTAGGACAGCTTGAGACGACCTTCAGATAACGGGGGATATCGGCTTAGGACAGCTTGAGACGACATTAAAAGATCAAGATGAACGGTTTCGGACTGATAAGATGAACTACATTGATATTAAAAAAACTGCATGAATATAAATATACAATAAACATAATGTTTGAGTAGGAGATAAAGGGGAGTGTACGTGATTTGGTAAGTTTTCAATCGAAATATAGTTGAATACCCTTGTATGTAGCTTATGAGATAAAAAAAAGGTTATGGAAGATGTATCCTTTAAATATGATGTTGTATATATATATATATATATATATATAGTATAGACGGATAGTTAACCTTTCCTATAGCTTGCTATGATAGTATTTGAAATGACACTTCCGTCTTGTTTTATCTCGTTCTGTACCTTGGGGTACCTTCTGTACATGGAAGAAAATGTTTATACATTGGCGACATGCATTTATAATGTAATACTTTATTTATTTTTCAATAAAATGACGCTCATAATAATAATCTTAGTGCAAAAGTAATTAAGATTATAAAGATAGTTTTCCATCACCTTTCATAATAAAAAGAGAATATTACATGGATTTTACCATGTTTTATTCTGTTTATCATATACTTGAACATATATTTTGGGCGATCTATTTTTTTTCAATTATCAATTACGAACTTCAATTTCAAGCATTTTTTCACCAAAGATCATCGATAGAAAATGTATATTTGAATAAAAGTGGAACAAATGCCAATTTTAGTGTGTCGGTTCGGAAATCGCACAGAAACATTACAATACAAATTGTTATTTTGGTGATCAACACATTTTAATGAAATAAACACACAATTGCAACAATAGAAATATGAAAACCTGTCTGTTTACGTTAATCTTGGTGTCCGATAATATGGCCTATGTCTATTTGATGACTCTATCACATGTCCATCTGATCAGATTGACTTATGGTCTGATGCTCATTTGACAAATTAATTTAATCAGAATCAGAATCATAAATAACGCGAATGCGTTTTATTGTATTCTTATTACCATAGTTAAACACCACATCACCATTAATGGTCGCGCCAGAAAACATACTGGGGAATCCTGTTGGCTGGGGAATGTTAGACATCACTTCTTTTCATTCTTTTTGGGCGGTTATAGGAGCAATATCCTCAAAGTGTTCATATACATTTTACAATTGACTCTACCAATTCCTGAAATGATCGATCCGGCATGTCATCTGGATTACTAGGTACGGAGGCCGCCATTGTCGATTTCGAGCTGGAGTAGCTACACAATATAGAAGACATATGTTTTTGCTGCTGGATTGATGCTGTTCTGTAATTGTTAATGGAGGCCATGTGTTTGTGTCCTGAGTGTTGTTGTACCAGTGTCGGCGGCAACGTGCTAATCGCGGTTTTCCGAGCCCTATGGTTGACCTTTCGGCCTAGGATCCCTGACTCTCGCACATTGTTTTCACAATACACCCCAGGGTATTTTTGTCCATTGGTTGCAACACATACCTGTATTCGCTGTTTTCATTGCACTTCTTATGTACCCCCAAATAGAATGGATCCTCGTCCCTCTTCATGCTGACTGCCCGTCTGGCTGCATACTCTTGATATATCATGACGGGACACCTCGGATTTCCTGTTGACAATAGAATAAATGTATTATTTTTCTATGCATCCATATTAACTGTTTAAAAGTAAAATATAATTTACAAAAAATTACAGAAAAGAACTTACTTAACCAAGAATTATAGTAAATTTAACGTTATAATGTAAAAAAATAAATAATTACATTTTTACTATCCATACGTACCATTGTCTTCATACCTTTTGGGCAGATACGGTCTAGAACCACCATTCACACCATTCTTGGTCTTCGTCGCTCTCTCTGTGAATTCAAGAAATCCCTCTCCAGTCGAACTTGCTTTCATCTCAACATCGCCCCATCTCAGATGTGCATGCTCCTCCCTTGAACGCATACCGAGGTGTAGTGTGTTGTTTATGTATATCGTGTTGAAAAGGGCCCTTGGATTTGCTGAGGAAAAATCAAATGTAACCACTTTATAAAAATATCATAAACAATTTTATTTACAAATGTATTTAATTTGATTAGTGTTCATTGACGAGTATGAGATTTATCTCCCTTTACTCAATAAATTACCAGAAATGTAACGTTTACAAACTGACCAGTTTACGGCTAGCTATCCAACTATAATGTGGCGTATGCATGATAACGTAATCAAATGATTCAAATCATAAGTGTTTGTTTACCTTTTCCCAGGAGATTTTTAGGTCACCTGAGACATATCAGCCCTGACTGATCCCCCGGGGCAGATGGGTGGGGCCAAAAAGGGTTGAATTGACTGAAATTTCAAAAATCTTCTTCTCAAAGACCCAGATATGGTAGAATCAAACACTCTTCATAGATGGAAGGGTCTTAAGGTTTATGACCCTAGGGTCTCACGTTTACCCCCTGGGGAAGGAGGGGGGGGGGGCAACATTTATTATGGTTTATAATGGCAAATGATACTTTGAATATTACATGTTAATAACTTGATTGGAATTATTGACAGTTTGATACTTTGAAAATTTTGAGCCAGCCATACCACCAAGGGCTGCAGGGTGGGGCCCAAAGGAGTCAGTGTGCTAAAATTTCTTCATTTTTCATGTTTAGAATCAGAGGTGCTAGTTTCAAATACTTTTTAGTCTTAAATCTGTATGCTAGATATTGAATTAGGTGGTTTTATTATTTTTTGTCACTTTGAATACTATTTCTGTTAGTGTTAAAAACAAAATCAATTCTCTGTATTACTATATCCCATGGGCCTCTTGTTATCGTACATGATGCCAATTTCCTCAGTCGCTTGCTTAGCACGGTTTCCTTTCCCGTGTTGCCTCAACAGTTTCCTCTTTGATGCAAATACTTCCCTTGAGTGTGTAAATTCTCTGTCGGAAATAATATCAACAGTAAGCCCTTTCTGTTTCAGGTGTCGATTAATACTGGACTGGATTGATTTCAGAGTGTCCTGTTCAAATTCACCCCCGTTTGATTTCTGTGCATTCATGAAAAACAATGCAAGGTATTGGTCCAGTTCCTTTGAGTCCAACTCTCCTTGTTGTCGCTGTTCATTCTTTGATTTAAGCCACGTTGTAAACTTGTTTAGGTCAGATACAGTTTTACGTACAGTGTTTATATTTCTCATCTGTTCTACAAAATGGCGAGTTGACTCGGCCTCGTTACACACTGTCTCGTCCTCATACATGACCTCATTAATAGTTTCTGTTAAAACGACATTCTCCGCTTCGTCGTGTTCCTTCGCCATCTTTTGTTTGTCAATAAGATCGTCCAACTCCATTATCCTATTTGACAATGAGTTCAAATCATCTCACCTTGAGCCGAACGCGACATTTTTTCACAGAATCTCTTCTGCTGCGCACGCATAGAAACGGCACGATAACTCCAGATGTGTTCCGGACCGAATAGTCACGAGGTGTTTCGAAATCCTGATATGCCGGTCTGAAACGTGATATGCATTTTCCGACCGACCGGTCTGATATGGGTCACGTGATTTTAGTATAGGGCGGGAATTGCGTATTTAGTAGTAAGTATGTAATAAACATATATATATATATATATACTGTACACCTGTTATGGGAACAGTGCATTTTACCAATGTTTTTACGGCTTATAGTTGAAAATTACTTGTATGTTAATCAGAATACTGTTTGATGACAGTTTTTCAGTTTATTAACAGTGTAATGGTTTTTGTCTCCCTTATATATTGGGGGAAATGTATTCTACCTTAAAAATTGAAACAGGTTCATCTTTTAGTATCATTATAATGTATAGTGCGGGGAATGCCAATATTGTTTACTTACATTTTTGTTTAATCCTGCACGATATTCCGATAACTAGTATGGCCCTTTCAAATGTATAAATTTCCATTTCCGCTTTTGCTGAAACCAAGATATGTGCGGTAGTGTAAAGATGACTACGATGGTCGACAGAAACTAGCTTTCAACATCCAGGTGAAATGTTAACATAATGCAAGGTATTAAAATTAAGTCGGTAAGAAAGTTAGGAAGCTATGACGGTAGTGAGTAAGTTAGGAAGCGTAGTGAGTATTCAAGTTTCAATACAGAAACAGTGTAACACATGTGCTTGAATTGTTACCATACAGTATATTATACAAGAGCCTACCTTTTTTTACTAATTGTTTTCTTTTTAGAGCTATTACAGAAACTCCCTCTCCTTATGTAATATAAGGTAATAACTCGCACATGTTAATACTATTCGTGCTCATAAAGTCATTTCATTACGCAGTAAGTTGGTCCATTCTTGATGCAGAAATTGGTAAAAAATAAGTGTTTTTGTAAGTGAAGAGTATGATGAATATTAAATAAATCTTTCTTTTTCCTTCCAATATTATAAAGGCCAGTGTATTTAGTAATTTCAATACAATATAGAGCTTTATTAAGTGTAAATTGTACAAGGAATCTTTCTCCAAATATGTGATGAATTTTCGCTTTGATATTTCAGTGAAAAAATTTCAATCTTCCCACATAAGAGGCAGATCAATTTTCGATAATTGCCAGAAATTGCATTAAATTGGTACAAACATCATTTTATTTGTATTAAATCATTATAATGGACATATAATAAGCCTATATAATAAGCCTATAATAAATATAATTAGTAATACTTAGATTGAAACATTACATATATAGTTCACTCTTGCTGGTTCTTTCTTTAATCACTGTATTTTTCCCTCTCCTGTCTTTCTATTACTCATTCTTTCTCTCTTAAACAAAATACCACCTTTCGAAATATCAGTTATATTACTAAGGGACAAAGGAATAGACTGTAAATTGGTTGGATGCTGTCTGACCACTTTATGCTTATTCCATGTTTTATCTTTCAAATATATCTTGCCTTGCTTGGCACTGCCTGTTCTTCTTACCAATTTCATTTGTGTTCTAACACTTTCCTCTCTTCTCTCCTTTCTTTTCTCTTGGGGTGTCAGATGACTGACAATGTGACATACATTGATTGAAAAGATGGAGGAAATTACTATATTATCAGGAAATTGCCAGAGTCTGTGTGATAAAAGTAAACGTCGGGATGTATTCTCATACTTAAGAAACAAGAATCATAATATATACTGCATTCAAGATACCCACTTTACTGTTGAAATGGAAGACATTGTATGATCAGAACGGGGATATACGTGCCACTTTAGTTCTGTCTGATCTAATTCAAGGGGGGTAGCAGTTATAATAAATAATAATTTTGAGGTAAAAGTTGTGAGGGAGAAAAAGGATACAGAGGGGAACTTAGACTTATTAATAGGAGCAAAATAATAATAATAATAACAGTATATGGTCCGAATCTTGATAGACCTGATTTTGTATTCAACAATGGATACTAAATTGTGTGGAGATTTCAACAATGAATGATATATAGTGTGTGGAGATTTCAACAATGAATGCTATAAAGTGTGTGGAGATTTCAACAATGAATACTATATAGTGTGTGGAGATTTCAACAATGGATACTATATAGTGTGTGGAGATTTCAACAATGGATACTATATAGTGTGTGGAGATTTCAACAATGGATACTATATAGTGTGTGGAGATTTCAACAATGGATACTATATAGTGTGTGGAGATTTCAACAATGGATACTATATAGTGTGTGGAGATTTCAACAATGGATACTATATAGTGTGTGGAGATTTCAACAATGGATACTATATAGTGTGTGGAGATTTCAACAATGGATACTATATAGTGTGTGGAGATTTCAACAATGGATACTATATAGTGTGTGGAGATTTCAACAATGGATACTATATAGTGTGTGGAGATTTCAACAATGGATACTATATAGTGTGTGGAGATTTCAACAATGGATACTATATAGTGTGTGGAGATTTCAACAATGGATACTATATAGTGTGTGGAGATTTCAACAATGGATACTATATAGTGTGTGGAGATTTCAACAATGGATACTATATAGTGTGTGGAGATTTCAACAATGGATACTATATAGTGTGTGGAGATTTCAACAATGGATACTATATAGTGTGTGGAGATTTCAACAATGGATACTATATAGTGTGTGGAGATTTCAACAATGGATACTATATAGTGTGTGGAGATTTCAACAATGGATACTATATAGTGTGTGGAGATTTCAACAATGGATACTATATAGTGTGTGGAGATTTCAACAATGGATACTATATAGTGTGTGGAGATTTCAACAATGGATACTATATAGTGTGTGGAGATTTCAACAATGGATACTATATAGTGTGTGGAGATTTCAACAATGGATACTATATAGTGTGTGGAGATTTCAACAATGGATACTATATAGTGTGTGGAGATTTCAACAATGGATACTATATAGTGTGTGGAGATTTCAACAATGGATACTATATAGTGTGTGGAGATTTCAACAATGGATACTATATAGTGTGTGGAGATTTCAACAATGGATACTATATAGTGTGTGGAGATTTCAACTAGTGAAACCAAACATAGACTATGATCAGAACTATCAACAAATAAACAGTCCTAAAGCTAGAGATAAGATATTATCTATCTATCTATTCTGCATCACCCTCTTTCGAGTAGTATGTGCAGCGTTAGAATTGATAGATGAATTATATATGATAGATATTTACATAGACCAACACCCAGATATTAGAAGATATTCTTGGCGAAGAACTAATCCTATGAAACAAGCTCGTCTAGATTTTTTTTATATCTGATAATATGGTAAATTCTATACAGAAATCAAACATAGATACTGACTATAGATCAGATCATTCCTCACCAACTATCTCCTTCAGGTTTGATGAATTTAAAAAAGGAAAAGGACTGTGGATATTTAATAATTCACTGCTTCATGACATAAAGTATATTGAATTAATTAATAAGGTTATTTTTAAAGTGAAATTACAGTATGCTTTACTTGTATATAATACTGAGTATTTAAATAGCATTTCTGACAGTGAGATTTAATTCCAAATAAATGACCAACTTTTTCTGGAAACACCTTTGTTTGAAATTCGAGGCAAAACTATATCTTACTCTTCTTACAAGAAAAAAACAATCATATATACAAGAAAATCAGCTTATATAGTCAATCAAATTGCTAGAAGCTCATGACAATATAGACTCCGTATTATTAACATACTTTCACACCACCACATCATTGACATAAACTTGCCAGTATCCTTTTTTGGTATCATTATAAGATTACTGACCAAAAGCCTCCCCCTCGTCTCGCTACCAGGAAACTAATTCCTGTCCCACTGGTAGCATTATGTAGATCTCTTCCTTTATGTCAAGCAAACGAAATATCGGTTAGACAATTTGTTTGTACATCGATAAGAATAAAACAAAATGTGAAAACATCAATTTTTTTTTGAAATAAATTGAAGGACTATGAGAATCAATTTTAACGAAAACCTAACATTAGCTTTTGTAAAACCATGCGTTTTTTATTACATTCTGATTGTAGGAATTGAAATTCTTGTATGTAGTGTTTTATTGTCAATATTGAGTGTATGCCAATCCACAAATGCGCATTTGAATTTGTAATACGTTGTATAGGTTATATAGTCCGCTGAAATAAATACTCACTAAACTAGTACTTCTACAGTATTAAAATACCATCTTGAAAACTTCGACAAACGATCACTCTTTATTACACGACCTTGTACTAGTGTCACCTATATGTATCTGTAGACTAAACACGTGTTTGTTCCCACCTATCTTTTACAAATGTGTATTCCCTTGTGTATACTACTGTATATGATTCAGTGTTCGATAAACTTGACAAACTTTTGCCTTAAAATAGGATCGATACGTATAAGTAATACGCGTATATAACGATATCCCTATTACTGTGCCAATCTAATTTCGTGAGGTATTACATCAGCCACGGGTCCTACTAGGATTTGAAAGTTCATAAGAAAATGTATTTTGCATATGCGCAGTTGATCCCTCTAAACTTGAATATTTGACAAGGTCATTTACATGAATAAAGTCGAAAGCCCCAATTTCCTTGCAAGTACTTGCTTTCAATTATCTCACAGAGAATACATTGTTTTATATACGTCATCTGCTCGACCTTGAATGTTGGCAATTTAGTAAATCCTAACCCATGTTGATGCCTCTCACTCTTTTGTAAGCTGCATGTCAAATAGAGTGTAACATGACTCGATGCCTTATTGTTCTTAATATGACCTGAAATATTTCGGCGGACGTACAGCCTGCAAGTTTTGAGTAGGATCGCATGCTGTTTTATAAAGTAGCGTGTCAGGCAAGTTAGATTTATTCAATCGATAAACACGTACCGCAAAACACGACACGATCTAGAACAGTCTCTAAGGTAGGTGATTAAAAACATGTGACGTGTATAATTAAAAATTGTTATAGTGTGGCCGTTGTGGAACTGTCGACGTCAAATGTATGATACGTCAGGCATTATCTATTAGTGTTTACATTATAAACCCACGTCGTAAAGATAAGATCAGTTGAAGCTAGGTTGTTTTGATCAGCCTATAGATCGCCTAACAATGGTAGGTATTGTATTTTGGTTATTTAATTATTGCGTTTTCTTTTTAAATATTCTTAACGAGGTTATATTGGGGGAGATTAAAGGAATTTGAGTGTATTTATTGCTCAACATTTTGACATTTATAATTGCTAACAAAGATTGATTATTGGATTCAACAGTTTTGTGAGTTGAATTCGATTTATCATTTTGGCGATTAGGTATTCTGATTTGAAATCGGTAATAAAATATTCTTTTATTTCGCTCACGTTATTGACCTCGTTAATATCTATGTTTGTAAGATTCGCCAAAACTTTTTTCTTTCGGTGGCAGCTTCTTGGAGAAATAGGAGGTGGTTGTTCCGGTTAGCCTTTTGACAATATAATGTAGATGGACTGAGTGTCATAGTTCCCTGACATTGTAGATACAGACACTTTGAATAACTTTTACGAGGCCCCATCAGTTGTGTACCTTTTCGGTGAATAAGACCTTAACAGGAACGCACAGAATTGTTATTTACCGTTAATCACTGGGGAACAACAAATCAGTGTTTTATTATACAGAAGTAATACATAGAAGTAGAGATGAATGTTTCGGTATCACAGATTCTATTGTATTCATTCCGCCGTCGTAGTAATCTGTATGTCCTTGTCAGATGATGTGTCCGGTCTACGTGCATGTTTTACAGAGCTGTGTACAAGAAAATGTTAATGACTCTTACCAACAAAGGAAGTGATTGGTCGACAATCCAAACCGGACAAAACCTAAATACAGACACTCCTATGCGTCATCAACTACCATGCAAGTGATGTACATGGACGACAAATGCCATACTGTTGTTGTCATCTCATAGCGATGCAGGCTATATTCAAACGTAAAAAATATTCGCGTTGTAAACGTTTGCAGTATATAATATTTGCTTCTGCATAACAATAACAAAATAAGGATATCGAGTCAATATATATATCATTATCATACAAACGCGCTTATCACATCATGTCGACGTCATGTTAGCAAAACTATACAGTCAAATTTGTAATCTCGAGTCTAAAACATCATATAGGCAAGGTGGTGATATTCGTAAGAAGGGGTGCTCGAGAATTGTAGATGTCTAAGGCTTTAGGGTGTGATTTTTTTTATTAAAAATAAATATTTGACAAGATATTAACAAATGACTTACAATGTGAACCACCCAACATACAGACAAGCAAATAAAAAGAAGCCCGACTATCAAATATTAACTGGAAATTAAATACATAAGACACTAATCAATTCGAGTAAGTCGGCGTCAGATCTGCGCTATTACAAGGAGACAAGTACACCAACATATCCTGTCTCCAGCACACATTCACACTTTCACGCTTAGCCAACACGGATGAAAACACGTCCTTAAATGACCGTAGATGTTAAAAGGACGTTAAACTAAATAAAACCAAACCAAACCAAAAATCAATTCGGGTCTATGGTTTCTCTTAAACATGTGCTTTTCTAATGTTCGTAATCAGTAAATTATAACCATTTTGATCATTGGTATGTCTGTTAAACATATAGAAAACCATATATAAGCAGAGGATCCAACTTCAGTCACTTCTGATAATATTATGATTAAAGATTAATACTAATATGCAAAAGATACCAAATCAAATTAACTGCGTTATTGTAACACTTTATTCTAGGCTTGTACATCGCTACTATTGTCTATTTTTGGAATTTCCCTGCTCCACACTTCAAGAGGGTTCTTAGCATCAGCTAACGAGACTGTGATAACTGAAACAAACGCCGGGTCTGGCTGTAAGTATGATATGATCAGAATGTCAACAAATCGGATATATAACTTAAAATAGTGGGTGAAGTTCATATTGGTATTTTATTCTGCCAGGCATAAATTGAAATGCACTATGTTGAATTTGCATCATTTGTTTTAAAGCTGCAAAATTATCTATTATTGTCTAAGTTTTTATAATAACTGTTCATACAATATTTATGCTTTTATTTTGAAATTTATCATCAAAATATTATCTTTTATAAAGCTCTGTAAAAGCTAAAACGAAATTCATAATACAATAGTCTAAATGTCGAAATTCGTCATTGTAAACTGTGACATAGTTTAGTTTTAGTAAAACAAACATTTTCGGCCTGTAGTTAATTTACTGTTTAGTTCCGTTAAAGCGGGGTAAAGTTGCAGTTATTATTTCAGTTCGAATAGACCGATTGTTAAATCATCAAAAAAAAATTCAGAAATAAAGAAAGATTTGATAAACAAGGGCGAGAAAAATACTCAATCAGATAGGATAGAGTAATGGTCGCCGAAATCAATATTATTTTTCTACTGAACACATTTATAATGTAATACTACGACAATAGTCAAACAAAGATATCCCACAGGTACTTATTTTAATCGTTTGGGCTGGTAACTTAATGCCATGAGAGACTTATTTTTAACCTTTGTTTGTAGCGTGCCCTGTCCATTGTAAAATAAAGCCTTGTGTCGCACAGGTGGGATGTTCTCTCTGCGAAAACGGTTTCTGTCTACACTACCAACGGAACGGAACCTCAACGTAAGTAATGGCTGGTTTGATGTAAACATATATAAACTAATTAAAGCGCATACGATTATAGTCTTGCCGAATTTACTTCAGTATTATATAACACATTCGTACCTTTTTTTTTTACCTTTTTCTCCATAAACTGCACTTGTCCTTTGTGAGATGAAGGTTGATTATTAATCGACTTAAATCTTATATTACAACCTCGTTTATATTTTACAATTTTGTGTACACAATTTTGCTTCTCTGGTAATTTGTCTCTTATAAAATAGGTATATTGGACTAGTCATCGAGTATAAAGTTAAGCCTTTTTTGGTTTTCCAACAACTTGTCTACCCGCTCTTGTGATAATGTGAGAAGGTTGTATGCTGTTCTGGTTACCCTTGTCATTGTATTTCAGTGAGCCAAATATACCGAGATACCGCCTGCAGCACACATGTACATATACAACACACATTGAGTCACGTCCTGATATGACCTTAACCGTATAGAACGATAAATTCGTGCAATCTACAGTTGAAAAATACATGGGAGGCTCCTAAAAGGAAAAGCCTTTATGTAAGACATAATACAATAGGTGACCATTTAAATATATATATAGGATTTTACATGAGTTTCATATGAAATTATATGAAACGAGTCTTAGGAGTTTTCATTTTTGCGAGCCTTGAAAATTCGAGACGAGTTCCATAAAAGCTCAAAAGAAATGAAAACAAATTTATGATACTTTTTATCACATAACTCAGAAAACTTACATTTTGACAGGTTTTAAAGCCAAAATGTAGGGGGCTTAATCAAACGGAGACAGCCATTTTGTTGCGTCATTCACTATTTGTGACGTCACGTCATTGTCCATATTATGACGTCAAAATCGATTTCTGCCTGGCAAAGCCAATGAAAAACGCTCCTTGGTATATTACACTAGTGACATATGTAAAAATATTACATTGGCACACATTGTATGGATGATGACAATGACGTTGAGGATGATGATAATGATTATGAGGAACGATAGTTTGAACGTTTAGGATCAGAATTCTGATGAGATAGTGATGCTGATGATGATGTTGATGATGATGATGATTGTGAGGATGATGATGATGATGATGATGATGATGATGATTGTGAGGAGGAGGAGGATGAGGATGATGATGATGATGATGATGATGGTGATGATGATGATGATGATGATGATTGTGAGGATGATGATGATGATGATGATGATGGTGATGATGACGATGATGATGATGATGGTGATGATGTTGATGATTATGAGAATGAGGAAGATGGTAATGGTGATGATGATGATGATGAATGTGAGGATGATGATGATGGTGATGAGGAAGATGACGACAACATTCAGGATGATGTTGATGATGAGTGAATTAAGTGTCAAAATGAGTGTTAGAGAGTGTGAAAATGAAAATACCTGTTCTGTACCTATATTATGAAAAACTGTTGGAAAAATAAATTGATAAAAAAAATAAAAAAATTGTTACATTGGCGAAATCACTGGTTAGCAGGCCGATTATGGGAAAAATTCATGTACGTAAAGCCCTTTGATACTTCGTGTAATGTGGAGGTCGGTTGTTTTGGTTATGATCATTTTTTGGTTTTGGCCTTGTTGTTTCGTCGCCACTACTCTTGTTCTAATTCTAACAACTTGTGTTTACCCGGATTTGACCAACATTTAAATGGAAGATGTTGTCGATTCTTCAGACAACGATTATCCTTCCGCAACTCCTGGTCTTATTTTCCTTGCACTAGGGTGTCCATTTTTGTCTTTCTCTAGTCATAAGTTATAACTATAATTTGGCGATATCATTTTAATTCCCTGGTTACATTTGTCGGTCTTTTTCAAGGTTACATAGTCATAAGTCAAACACAACCACTTTAGGGGGTTTGGGCTATATATCGTGAGCTAAAGTTTACTTCTGTTCATTCCTTTTTTATTTAAGATGTATTTATGTTATTTCATTTTTTCACATCCACAAACGTTCGTACAGGTCAGTATGTATAAAACTGTTGAAATATATGCGGTTCAGGTTATCAGAGAAAGCTTTGAAATTAAACGCTCATCAAACCTGTCAACACTATAGTAGGCTATCAAATGTATTATTTGTTTTTAAAGTATGCGAGATAATTTTCTTTTTTCTTTTGTAAACATATCAACGCACTATAGGTCTTTCTTTAGATACTCTATACCATGGAATGTTCATTGTGTATAGACCTGTGTTGTTTTCGTGATTGCTATGTTACCACGGATATAAATTCAACGCATCTTTCTGCAACTCGAAAGAATACAACCAACGAAAATGTAACAAATATATTATCTTTATTGCAATAACAAATGTGAACACAAAGGTATATACATTGTACGTGTATAACTATGAACACTGTAACAACTACGACGAAACGTGGTCTTATTCTAGTGTATATGCCGATGGTCAGATCAAGGAAAACAACTCACATTTACATCTCGTTGTACGGGCTAACTACGAATGTTTATACCCACGAAATAATTTGAAAGCTTCAAACCACGAAAGAAAGTACACACGAACATGTCATGGTATACAGTATGTAGTACTGTATGATAATTCAATGTATCATTCAAGTGCTGGCCTTTTTCAGTTTAGGAATCTGTTTGGCATCCTGTCCATCAGGGTTCTATTGCGAACAATTCCGGTTTTCAATCTGCAGAGGTAAGCAACAACCTACATCTAACTATCATCTAACTATCATACGATCAAAAGACTGAAACAGGTGGAGATTTTATCTTCATCCATATCACGACTTCATAGCATGTTAACAACAATTAATATTTCACTTAAAATATCACGCCATGATTATCAAGCAGGTATGTAGAAGTTTATCTGAATTTCTGTTTTAATAATAATAATAATTCGAGGTTCTTATATACTGCTTTTTCACAACCTAGTTCGTAGGTCGTCTCAAATTATTTTCCGTGGTTATAGGGCCTTTGCAACCATCCAATACCTTTTTCAACTCCCTGGGGAGCATACAGCCGGAGCTGCCTTATCGGCGCTAACAGCTAGGATTCAACAATCCTAGCGCTGCACAACCACGTACTCATTTATAGCTGAGTAGACTGGAACAAGCGGAGTTAAGTATCTTGCTCAAAGATACAACACAGTGTCGTGCCGTGACTCGAGCCCACAGCCCTTCGGTCACGGGCCCGGCTTCCTAACACTAGACTACCGTGCCTCCTGACGTTTAATGAACAAGTCTAAAAACATATAATGGCTATACAATTCAAATGTGTTATCAACACCTGTATATAGAATACGATAGATATTTTATTAACAATGTTTGTATGAATACATTACAATATATACATCTATTAACTATGCAATAAATATATATAAACTGCTCACTTACAATGAAATGTTTTTGTAACAAACAATAATGTATCCATACAATATCATTATGTAAGTGTTGTATACATTAGCGTTATTTTATATATTACGCAGCCTTTGATAAAAAGCGAAACAAACAAAAGGAATTGAAAAAAAAAAAAAAAAAAAATTAACAAATTGAAAAACTATTTTGGGTCGGATTTCTTTTTTGCCACCTTAAAAATAAGTATATCGTTAACTGTTATTGCTGGCTACTCGTTCTCGGTTACGTGCACAACGGCAGTGATTTTTATATGACTAGGGACGACGACACGAACCTAAAGACACTGTGACAACCGTATTAGTTACCAGTACATGTAAAGGTATAGTCCTAAACACCTTGAATCGCTGCACTCATCACCTGAGTCTGACAGCATAACTGTCATTTCACAGGGCAAAAGTGCCTCGATAGATGTCAGTTACACTACCTCTGCCCATTTAGCTCGGTAGCCTAGGGCCAACATTGAGTGTGATGATTACATTTGGTTACCAAGTAAGTCAAATGGCAATCGCCTTTTGCTTTACATGGCGAAGAACATAAGTCAAAATGCAGAGCTGAGATGTAGACACACAACTTATTGTGTGTTGACCACTAATAGTACACAGCTAGTGCATACATGTGTAAACACTGGAGAAATTCTAAAATGTCGGTACAGCGGGAAAAGCCTACGTAGATAAGGAACACCGTGGACACGTGTAGATGAGGTCACTCCAAGCCACCTTACTGATTACGTTATCAAACGCAACAGACAATGCTTTAGGTAAAATTCATGTGCCATTTTCAAGGCAGAGCATGTTATGCTCAGTCCTTTGTTGAGGAAGAGCTAATATGCTAGGTATTTCTAATCCTAATAAACATTCTTAGTTACAAATAGTCAGCAGGAATTTTAAAGCTACTACTGTCAAATCAGATATATTACTGGAGCCCAAATTTCTTAGTTTTCAGACATAACATCATTTCGCGAGTACATGCATTCGTGGATTACGAGTACTCACTCACACCAAGAATTTCTCTATACCAAACTTGTAGTTACTTCATGGACCAATAAATTAGTGGATTTCGAAACCCCGCAACAATTAGTGCTTTCACGGTAAATCCGCAATGAATACGAACACTAACGCTCTGAAAGAGAAACAGTTTACTTCGTATGCCCGAGATCCGAAAGTTTGTTGACCTTAAGTACATGTGGTATTTAGCACAGGCCTGAACATAATTAAGTTATATAAATCAAATTATCAGAATGCACGGTCTAGTGGTAGGACGCATGGTTGCGGGTTCGAGTCACAGCACGGAACTGTTTTATTTCTTTGAGTAAGATATTTTACTCCGCTTGTTCCAGTCATAAGCTGTAAATGAATACGTGGTTTAGTAGTGCTAGACTTGTAGAATGCTAACTGTGAGCGCCGAAATGGCAGCACCGACTGTATGCTCCCCAGGCAGTTGAGAAAGCTATTGACTGGTTTCAAATTCCCTAAAACCACGGATAAAAGTTGTTAAACCGCTTTGAGACGATCTACGAACTATGTTGTGATAAAGCGGTAAATAAGACCTCGAATTATTATTATTATTATTTAAAACAATAAGTTAACGTTTCTGATCGTTATCGTAGAAATGCATACCAAATTAAGTTAAAGATTGACGTTAAATGCCTATCAATTGTCTGGTTGAAAAATAAGTTAATAAGGAAACACAATAACGCGACTTTTTGAAGATTGACGTTGATTTATTGTGATAAATGTCGCGTGTATTTCCTTCAAAAGCCTCCGATCCGTGTGGTATGTAATATACAGTTTGTATTGTATAATCACAATATACTAACGCAAGCATTACAATAGGGATATATTTGCGAAGAGTTTACATAACAATATAGAATATGATGTAGATTATATACTTTATATAGATAATGGATTATACCACTAAAATACATATATTAAAATTGATACATAATATAGAGGGGGAAATATACACACACCTTATAAAAAACTTGTAATGTCGTGTGTTTTATTCGGGAACGTAGGTTGATTAATAAGATGTTTCGGTTAAGGAACTATCCCTGTGACTGAAAACTCGTTTTTCATGAAAGATTGATGTATAACAAATTTTCAAAATGCACAATATCCAGATAGTTAAATTTTAGATTGCCTGTATTGAAAAATGAAAATTCTGCAAAATTAACTTTGTTTATTGTAAACAGAAATATCATGCATACTTACAGATAATTACAGCGTGATAGTGTATGTGGTTTACTTGATGCATATGAGTAAATACAAACTGTTAGTTAAATCTTACTTTGTCAAATCAATAACTACATTGTATCAAACTACCTTCAGAATACTCCGTTATCATGGTACGTTCCTTGGTTGCGGTCTGTTGAATATGTTTGACATGGCATGGTTATTTGTGAACCGTTTTGAGACAAACTAGGTTGTGATTAAGCGGTATATAAGAACCTCAAACTATTATTGTTATGATGATGCACTTAATATATATTTCATGTTTCAAGTTGGTTGAATGTTATAATCTGGTTTGAATGGATTAATGCGTGCCAATTTTCTCTTTTGCTGACAGCTTGCAAGGACACGAATTGTGATACATGTGATTCTCGCGGAAAATGCACGAAGTGTAAAATTGGTTTCTCCCTTATGGCCAGCGACAGCACCTGCCACGCCGCCTCTACAACTCCACCCTTGACAACCGCTACAACAACTGCAGATTCTACTACAACTGACATCATGTCGACGATGGGACAGGCAATATCTGCATCAACACCGAATGTTCCAGGGGCGGCATCTCTTTAAACATGTCACGCAGAGTAATTAACTGTGTAGTGTCTATTTCAATAAGTCCTGGTACCTATAAAGCAAAATTGTTGTTTTTCTATCAAAGTTTGTGTTGATATTATACTATTTTTAATGTCGGCCTTTTGGTACTAAATGTACTAAACACACAATGTTATCAGATTGTTGGAATACAACACCACTCAATGTTCATGTATTTCTGTTTTGGTGTTTATTGGCATGCATTGTTAAGCGTCTTAGCAACAACTTATCCGAAAAGGAGAGCGAACAACAAAGTAAAGAAGGTATTAACTGGTGAAATTAAGGTGGCAGATCAAGTGTAACAAAATACGCTCCTCCAGAAATTGTATATAGATAGAATGTGTTAACGGGAGGCTACAATCTGAATGAGGTACTGGAAAAGTTAATCTAATGATAGAAGATACTAAACCATCTATGGCCTCGGGAAGGGAAGAGAGCGTAATATGACCGATATACATAAAAATGATGTTAATTTCGGTTGGCATCTTTCGCACAGAACTTGATAATACATCGGAGACCTAAATATACATGTAGCGTAGGGGCAATATATGTATTAACAAGCATACGTTCAATTTCAGTTTATATTGACCAACATATAGGAAGGGACGAGAGGACGAAGCGAGGGTAGATAGAATGATATCGGTAAACTGTATACGTGTACACGTTTAAAAAAGAGCGATTTGGTGTAAAAAAGAGACGCAAATCTAAACGACCTACATGTATAACGACAAAGAACAGGTAAAAATAGCTGAGGACAGCTTGAGACGACCTTCAGAGATCAAGAAGAACGGTTAAGGACAGTTTGAGGCGACCTTCAGAGATCAAGAAGAACGGTTAAGACAGCTTGCGACGACCTTCAGAGATCAAGAAGAACGGCCGAGGACAGCTTGAGACAACCTTCCGAGATCAAGAAGTACGGTTAAGGACAGCTTAAGACGACCTTTAGAGATCAAAAAGAACGGTTCAGGACAGCTTGAGACGACCTTCAGAGAACGGGGGAGAATGGCTTAGTCTAGCTAATAACGCGTTACAGAGAACAAAAGAGAACGGGGGAGACCAGCTAAGGACAGCTTGGGACAAGCTACAGAGAACGGGGAAGAATCGATAAGGACAGGCTTTGGCGACCTTAGAAGAACGACAGAGAACAGGAAAGTGTGGTCAGGACAGCTTAGAACGAGCTACAGGGAACAGGGTAGAACGGCTAATGTCAGCTTGGTACGAGCTACAGAGACGTAGGATAACAGTTCAGGACTGCTTAGGACGACTTAAAGCGCATAGGGGAGAACGGCTTAGGACAGCTTAGGACGACCTTTAGAGAACGGCAGAGATCGGGAAAAATGGCTTCGGACAACTTAGGACGATCTTCAGCGAGCTAGACGAGAATGGCTTCAGACAGCTGATGACGACCTTAGGATAACGGAGAAGAATTGATAAGGACAGACAATGGCGACCTTAGGAGAACGACAGAGGACAGGAGAGATGTGGTCAGGACAGCTTTGAACGCGCTACAGGGGACAGGTTCGAACGGCTAAGAACAGCTTGGTACGAGCTACAGACACGGGGAGAACGGTTCAGGGCTGATTATAACGAGCTACAGGGAACAGGGCAAAACGGTAAAGGACAGTTTGGTACGAGCTGCAGAGACGGGGCAGAACGGTTCAAGGCTGCTAAGGACTACTTACAGAGAACAGGGGAGAGTGGCTCAAGACAACTGAGGACTATCTACAGAGGACGACAGAGAACAGGGGAGAATGGCTCAGGACATCTTAGGACGACTTATAAAGAAGGACAGAAAACATGAGAAAACGGCTTTGGATGAACTTCAGTGAAAGACAGAAAAAAGAGGAGAACGACTGAGGACAGCTAAGGACGAGCTACAGAGAAAGGCAAAACAAGCAGCTAACACCATGACACCAGGAAAATAAACATCAACTTGAGCAAGAAAACTTATTGACTTTTATTTTACTATACAATTTTGGTCTTTTCTAGCAGAATATATACAAAAGAAAAATCCCTAAGGGGCCAACATTACGCGCCACGTATGGTGCCATGCAGTGTCGGACACATCAGGCTTATATGTTCGAACCCTTGAAGGGTGACATAAAACGTAAAAGTGTTTCTGAAGTTAGACAAGTAAAATAAAACTATATACTGTAGAATGATGCTGAAGGGGGAAGAATAACAAAAAATGGAACATTCAGTCAGTTCATTTTCTGTTTTAGAAAATACTTGTATAGATATACTACAGTTCCACGATCAATACCAACGTACAAGATGTATTGATAACCTGATGATGATACAGGTAGAAGACATTTTTAGGAGATCAATAAGTCGGCTTTGCACCTAGTATCGGATCAGACTTTTTTAAATCATGTTATTTTCATATGCATCGAGCGTCATTCAGGGAATAGTATACATTCAATTATGTTCCGTTGTCAGTATAATGTGACGAGCGGAATGATTTGCTTGGTTGGCATCAGATCCACGCAATCGATAGGAGGAACTTCCACCAACATAACCTGCCTCCGGTACACAAAATGTACACACATCCACGCATACACCACAAACATGAAGGCACGTACGTCATCAAAAGAATTTAACTGTTAATAGGATGTTAAACTCTAAAAAACAAAGTCAAATCCAGCTGAGAGTCCAGTCGCCTTTATTCCTGATTACCAATACAGTCAACTTTGTTTTATTCCATAAGACAACAACCTACTGTCTTAAAGACAGCAAACCTCGCAACCAGTTGATGAATCAGCGTCCCACGATTTCATAAGTTCCTCAGGATTCTTTTATTAAATAGATACTTCACTCACCTTCGCTCGAATTAGAAAACGTATCCAACTTCGTTTCGAATAGATGATCCAGTAATTTTCATTTTTGAAGATAATCCAGCCACCTTAGTTGTAAGTAGATAATAGAGCAATCTGTATTCCATTTACATAATCCATCTTACATCCATCTGACAAATAATTAATTTTTTGTAATTAAATAAAATGAAACGACTTCTCTCCATTTTATAAATTTGTTATACATGTTACAATGTTATTGTTTTCCGTATTACGGAAGCATATACGTGCCATCTTGAATTGTTTTCTTATATCGTTATAACGACATACCTATATCTTTATAACAAGATAGCTTATCTTGTTATAACAAAATGGCTTATCTCGTTAGAACAAGATAGCTAACGAGATAAGAAAAAAGCCAAAATGACACGTATAGGCTTCCGTAACAATCTGCTTTTGCAGAGAACAAATATTTAAATTAGTGACAATGACAATTACATAGGCTAACTGGTTGGCACCCTTTAACTTTAATGGTGTGTTCATGTATTAAATTCGGAACTGTACGTGTTATATAGCGTTATAAACATAATTCAAAGAGGGGTAACTCTAGCAATAACCTTGACTATTGACTGCTATGTACGTAGCCTGTGGACTAGGATTGTAAACACAGGGTAACATCTGTTGACTTAATTCGTTTCGGATAGATCAACAGTTATAATCAATAACTGACATCGTATCTTCATGGCGGAACGGGACAGAATTATAAAGCTGAATGTCGGGGGAGCCCTTTATACGACGTCAAAGTCCGTCCTGACCAGTGTCCGAGGCGGATTTCTGGACAGAGTGGCCGTGGGAGAAATCAACTCCATGAGGGACCACCGGGGCACCATATTCATTGATCGAGACGGACACGTATTCAGGTTTGTGTTAGTTTTATATATGAATGGGCTATGCGTTATGCGTTGTTTAACCTTCAATTTTGTTACTTCACTGACCAGAACTAATATGATGCAAACCAATTTAATGCCTTAAGTTGGCAACTTTTTAAATTTCTTAATGCCAGTACTTCCCTCTCTGTTTCCCATTTACCATATATATATATATATTATATCTCAGGTGTAGATAATTCACTGTCCCCTAGACAGGGTAATCCAGAATGCTTAATATCTATACCTCCTGCTTACTGCTTGATTTTAATATTATAGTCTGCGTTAATCGAGGATAGTTGTACCTATGTTTTACCATTTGCGCCCTCTGATGGTAAACATACTAACAATAAAGGTATTTTGAAATATTTTTGTAAAAAGTATGCACATTATTTGTGAAACGAAACGAATCCGGGATGTCTCCAACTTATTCAATTCTTTTACATCTGTTTATCGCTTTATTACATAACAAAAATTAAATGTATCAATTTTCTAACAAAAGACATACAAAATATATTCCAAGAATTGCTTAAAATAATAAGCGTTTCGTTTAGTCGTTTTCTATTTATATAGAGCGTATACATGTAGTTGGTCTAGGATGTTTAAACAACCCTAAGTCACTTGATAAACTATAAATAATTCTACTGCAGTAACGACAATTTTCATTGGTGAATAATCATGTATGATTTTACGATACACCAAGCGCGTGCATGCATTATTTTCCAACAGTTTAATACTCTTTCGAAAACCAACCCCACAAATGAAAACAAGCGAGCCGCGGACTCGTCTCCTTTGTCAAAGGATGCTACAAGAATTAAACGTGTACGTGTTTGGCGATTTGCTAGTAAACAAACATAAACAAGTATCACTTTCCAATCTAGGTCTACATTTAACCTGCTTAAGCCGCAGAATGTTCTCCCGAACTTACCGCGAAGTTGACTTGAATAAGGGTTTTTAATCTGTCAAATGCTGATTTCATATTTGGACGTGCGATGTCGATAGAATGCTTGAATTAGACTTCTGGTATAACGCATGACGTCAGTGTATATTGCTTATTATGTGATGACAAAATGACGACTGAAAATGAAAATCCTTTCAACAGATACCTAGGTTTAAAAGACATAACAATGACAACTGACCAAACGGTAACACATTATAGAAGACTTCAGGCGTCACGTGGTATCACGTGCAAAAGAACAGCTTAATCTAAATTGAATTGTAATGAACTTATTAAGGTCGCATTGCTCATAATAGGCGTAAGGACGCTTAGTTAATCGTGAAAAAAACTTCCATAACACTGCTTTTGCTAGAGTGGTTTGAATAGAAAATGTTGGAAAAATGATACAACCTCCTGCCGCATGCGGTCTTTGTTTAATATTTTTTACATCATTTTGTCACCCTCGTTATGTATTCCACCATAATGCACGTACCTGTCTTGATGATTAGTTAGATACTAAGCAGTTAATTATCCAAGTCGCCTAGGTTACAATGTATCATAGTCTGTATTGACAACAATAAACGCAAAAGCAAAAAGTTGGTTTAACTATGAAACGAATTGGAGATTGGACAACCTCCAGAAATTATGAAATCGGGAACGGGAAAAGACGATCTGATTAAAATCATCTGTTACATGATTTTAATCAGATTGAAAAAATATATATAAATCTTATAAATAGGGACGCCACCAGGAAAGCAGGCACATTTTAAATAGTCATATAAGGAGTATTTGTTTTCTTACACTGTTAGGAATAATTTGAATGATGAAACAGCTACATATACGATACGTCAATACTTTTGCTGTACAACTGTATATCCCAGCTGTTACACTTATAACGCCGACATTACTGACACGTTTATAAAGATCGATTAAAATGTAGGCTAGCTTTATTATATTATCCGATCAGACACAAGCATACACACACCATAACATTGAGTTGTTAATGTTGGTGTGTCGCTATATGGATAAGGTATTTATGATACTACCATTCCGTTTTATTCTTTCTAATCCTTCACATATTTTAACAACTGCCAAAACTGACAATTTTGACCAAATGATTAGGCAAGTAATGATCAAGAATAAAACCATCTTAAAACATGTAAGATAGTGGGTATCAAAAGAGAGCAGCACTTAGGTCAAAAGTACATTAGAGGTAAAATCTTAGGATTTGGGTATTACCGCGCAGTGTCTGTCAGAGTGGCTGTTGAATTGAAGATAAAGCTGCAGGGATATCCATCTAGTGGCGACCAGTGGATGACATAGAGTAAGGACGAGAGTGTGCACTCCCCAAACCAGACAGGGTAGCTGTTGTTGCCATATGATACATTTAAGTATTGTCGTTTTGGCAGGGAAAGTTAGATTAGAAGTTAGATTAAATTGTCGCACGTGCCTAGTTATGTATGTAAAAGGGATGGTGCGGGATCATCAATAATCAATAAGATATGTACTATGAACTTTCATAAAAGGCTCTTTAACAGGGAATTTAGGGAGCGAGGCTCCAAACGACTGGAGAGAGAGAAGATGATGCCGGAGGACACGGGTGGCGCAGTTCACGCTTCAGGACAGGGTGATTTACCATCCTCATCATCGGAGGATCGGAGGTCAGGGACAATCCTGGCCACGGCCCCAAAAATACCCATGTGTTACATAACACGCTGACAACACACGTGGACTTAGACTTTTTATTTACTTCGCATTGTGGCCGCGACAGTCTTAAATCTGCTAAATGTCCCTTTTAACATATTTCTGGAACACGACAGCAATCTACCTGCACACAGATTATATAGTTACAACATCAAACACCTGTTTCCTGTTCCTGTGCCTGACACAATTACAGCGAATATAACACACATGTTGATAGAGGAAATATGTCCGAGGTACGGAGCGGCCTTACAAATAGTAACCGATAATGGGACAGAGAATGAAAATCGGGAGAAACATAAGTGGCACTAAGTATTAGTCACGTTACTACTACATTTTACCATCCCCACAGCGATACGGAAGTTGAAAGGTTTCATCCAACTTTACACGATATTCTATCTAAGAAACTAGACAATGACACGACAGCTTGGAACATGTATTTGAATCAAACATTTTAACATAAACGAATCATCAATATTTTCCCTATTTTTCTTAATATACAACTGTGATGTGGTTTTACCGGTTGACAAGTCATTGAAACCTCGACGTAAATATGTATTTTACGAAAATAAAATCTCAAATTTATTGCAGATATGTTCTGAACTATCTCCGGACGTCGAAGTTGACAGTGCCGCAGGGTTACAAGGAGCTGTATCTTCTCAGAGAGGAAGCAGACTTCTATGGACTCCCGGGGCTCGTTGCTGAGATAGACAACATCCTGAGATCACGGAAGCGACGAAACAGGCCACGCTTGTCCAAACAAAAGAGTAAAAGCATGGATTTGATTTGTGACGAGAACGGAACTGTCATCTTTGAAGATGATTCTTCCGATTTTTTCTATGACTGATATATACTTTTTTCCTGTTGTTAATCAATAGCTTATTATCAACGACTTACGTTGAAAGCAATGCAGGTGTATTTTAACATACATTCAATCTGCTCGAGGGCCTCCCTTATTTCGAAATCTTCTGAAAGGATCAAGTTTTCTCATTCCTACAATGATGATAACATAATCAGAACTCTGTTAAGAGGACATTTCTGTTCAGATGCCGTTTGTTCCCTTTGCGTGAAACATTTCTTAATACTTGGGGGTCGAACTCATTTGTAAAGGGTATTTTGGTATTTAATATTTTAAACAAGAACTATCATCACCAAATAACAAGCGTTGTAAGTATTGCCTTATTTTTCGAAAAAAACACATGTGACTTCATCGTTAACAAAAAGCACAGGGTAGTATATTCAGCACTATCTGAATGCACTTGATTAGAAGGAGGAAATTTAAGGGAGGCGATAATTCATGACTTACGATTTGTTGATGTCTACTGCACAATATATTCTTATTTGATCAGTTTAACGTAATTATCTTTGTGATGGAGGTGTCAGGTACGATATAACAGGTCTACATACAGCATTGCATGTTCAAAAAATGTAAGCGAAGAATTTACTGCAAACGCTTGGCATTGATCCTTGTCCGATGCATACGTGTGTGTATAGATTCAATGGTTTAAGGTCTATACTTGTTAATTTCGAACAAAGAAATTGCTTTCGGTGGTGATCAGGCAGCTAACAAACTTGTCAGAGGCAAAATGTACAGCTTGTTCTTTCTTATTACTACTATTAATAGTATTGTTTTGTTTCGCTGATCTTGAAATTGCGAAGGAACATTTAAACAATTATACAACTTAATCCATGTCATATTTAATCAATCTTGTCGAATCGTTCCAGCAATACTGCAGCAGTATACTGAACATAATGTGTAAACACGAGCTGCCTCTAAATACCGTATGGATCTTAAGTGTCAATTGTCTTACATTTTGTTTCCAGTGAGGTGTCACGTTCTATCGGTTTGTTATAGCTGGTTTTATGAAAACTTTGACAGGTATCCAAATTGCATTTAACAACGGCGATTTTCATTTCATATGTTTATAAAATGAAGAAAAATGAAGGTTAATATTTGTTACATAGATGTGTCTGTATCAACTACATCATTCACATACTTAACTTTTGAAGCAAATCACACTTGATGCAGAAACATGTTTGACCTAAGAGGTACTTTCAAAAAGTAATTAGTAAAGAAGTCAATGGCGTCCTCTACGTATTCAATAGTAACAAACATAATTTTCTCATATTTTTACCCGGATTTTGCCGCACTCTTCGAATAATATCGGTGATTTTCCGACTTCGATAAAAATGTTTGGTACTTAACCGGGCACTATTAAATCTTATCCATATATTAGATTTGGGACTACAAAATATAGTTTAATCTTGTTACAAGTTGCTTAAGTTTCATGAAATAAAATTAAAAAAAAAAAATCTGTGTTTATTTTAATGTTTTAATATGTAAGATAGGAACTCTGCAGGGAATCAGTACTAAGCGCTGTAACGACACTTTCCATTGGTTAATAACAATGTATCATTGGATGAGGCACAAGTTGTGAACAATTTCGATTTACATTATATCAATGATAAAATGCGGAGGTAAAACTCGTAATTTGATAGTTTGTTAATATTAACCCTCCACCGGATTTTCTGATTATTTTCAACATGTCATTTTTATTTTTTTAGAATTGTTCATCCATACAGGAGCAACTGAATTAAAATTCTTCAACACGTAACGCATTGTTATTAAACAATGCATAGTTCAGCTCTACCATAAACAAACCACCACCACCGCCACCGCCACAACAACAACAAGACATACTTGTAGGTCAATGTGAAACAAATGCTTTATTAGTAAATATACTTCTAAGACAAATAAAATGTCCGTTTATGTTGGTGTTAATTATCAAGTTAGTTAATTGAAACATTATCACTTTAGGAAGAAATGTCTGAGTGAAAGGTATTATTTTACTCTATAGTTTGTATAACCACAATTACCACTAATGATACAATACTTTTACTTATAGCGTAATGTAAGCCTTTTTTTCTCATACAAATGTTTTATAAAAGAACTCAGATGTTCTGACAGATATATACCTGGTGTAGTCCGTGTGACCTCTAACTCTATTACCTGACCAGACTGACGTTCTTCCAGATATATAGCTAGTGTAGTCCGTGTGTCCTCTATTCCTATTACCTGACCAAACTGATGTACTCACAGATGTATATTTAATACAGTCTGTGTGTCCTCTAACTCTATTACCTGACCAGACTGATGTACTGACAGATATATATCTAATGTAGTCCGTGTGTCCTCTAACCCTATTACCTGACCAGACTGACGTTCTGACAGATATATATCTAGTGTAGTCCGTGTGTCCTCTTACCCTGTTACCTGACCAGACTGACGTTCTGACAGATATATATCTAATGTAGTCCGTGTGTCCTCTAACCCTATTACCTGACCAGACTGACGTTCTGACAGATATATATCTAGTGTAGTCCGTGTGTCCTCTTACCCTGTTACCTGACCAGACTGACGTTCTGACAGATATATATCTAATGTAGTCCGTGTGTCCTCTAACCCTATTACCTGACCAGACTGACGTTCTGACAGATATATATCTAGTGTAGTCCGTGTGTCCTCTTACCCTGTTACCTGACCAGACTGACGTTCTGACAGATATATATATCTAGTGTAGTCCGTGTGTCCTCTAACTCTATTACCTGACCAGACTGATGTTCTGAAAGATAGATATCTAGTGTAGTCCGTGTGTCCTCTAACCCTATTACCAGACCAGACTGATGTACTGACAGATAGATATCTAGTGTAGTGCATGTGTCCTCTAACCGTATTAATTGACCAGACTGATGTTCTGGCAGATAGATATCTAGTGTAGTCCGTGTGTCCTCTAACCCTATTACCTGACCAGACTGACGTTCTGACAGATATATATCTAGTGTAGTCCGTGTGTCCTCTAACCCTATTACCTGACCAGACTGATGTTCTGACAGATATATATCTAGTGTAGTCCGTGTGTCCTCTAACCCTATTACCTGACCAGACTGATGTTCTGACAGATATATATCTAGTGTAGTCCGTGTGTCCTCTAACCCTATTACCTGACCAGACTGATGTTCTGACAGATATATATCTAGTGTAGTCCGTGTGTCCTCTAACCCTATTACCTGACCAGACTGATGTTCTGACAGATATATATCTAGTGTAGTCCGTGTGTCCTCTAACCCTATTACCTGACCAGACTGATGTTCTGACAGATATATATCTAGTGTAGTCCGTGTGTCCTCTAACCCTATTACCTGACCAGACTGATGTTCTGACAGATATATATCTAGTGTAGTCCGTGTGTCCTCTAACCCTATTACCTGACCAGACTGATGTTCTGACAGATATATATCTAGTGTAGTCCGTGTGTCCTCTAACCCTATTACCTGACCAGACTGATGTTCTGACAGATATATATCTAGTGTAGTCCGTGTGTCCTCTAACCCTATTACCTGACCAGACTGATGTTCTGACAGATATATATCTAGTGTAGTCCGTGTGTCCTCTAACCCTATTACCTGACCAGACTGATGTTCTGACAGATATATATCTAGTGTAGTCCGTGTGTCCTCTAACCCTATTACCTGACCAGACTGATGTTCTGACAGATATATATCTAGTGTAGTCCGTGTGTCCTCTAACCCTATTACCTGACCAGACTGATGTTCTGACAGATATATATCTAGTGTAGTACGTGTGTCCTCTAACCCTATTATCTGACCAGACTGACGTTCTGACATATATATATCTAGTGTAGTCCGTGTGACCTCTAACCCTATTACCCAACAGACTGAAGTTCAGACAGATAGAAATCAAGTGTAGTCCGTGTGTCTTCTTACTCTAGTATCTGATCAGACTGATGTTCTGACAGATATATGTCTAGTGTAGTCTCTGTGCTCTAACCCTGTTACCTGACCAGACTGACGTTCTGACAGATATATATCTAGTGTAGTCCGTGTGTCCTCTAACTCTATTACCTGACCAGACTGATGTTCTGGCAGATAGATATCTAGTTTAGTCCGTGTGTCCTCTTACCTTATTACCTGACCAGACTGACGTTCTGACAGATATATATCTAGTGTAGTCCGTGTGTCCTCTAACCCTATTACCTGACCAGACTGATGTACTGACAGATATTTATCTAGTGTAGTACATGTGTCCTCTAACCCTATTACCTGACCAGACTGATGTACTGACAGATACATATCTAGTGTAGTCCGTGTGTCCTCTAACCCTATTACCTGACCAGACTGACGTTCTGACAGATATATATCTAGTGTAGTCCGTGTGTCCTCTAACCCTATTACCTGACCAGACTGATGTACTGACAGATATATATCTAGTGTAGTCCGTGTGTCCTCTAACTCTATTACCTGACCAGACTGATGTTCTGGCAGATAGATATCTAGTTTAGTCCGTGTGTCCTCTTACCTTATTACCTGACCAGACTGACGTTCTGACAGATATATATCTAGTGTAGTCCGTGTGTCCTCTAACCCTATTACCTGACCAGACTGATGTACTGACAGATAGATATCTGGTGTAGTCTGTGTGTCCTCTAACCCTATTACCTTACCAGACTGATGTACTGACAGATATATATCTGGTGTAGTTAGTGTGTCCTCTAACTCTATTACCTGACCAGACTGATGTTCTGACAGATAGATATCTAGTGTAGTCCGTGTGTTCTCTAACCCTATTACCTTACCAGACTGATGTACTGACAGATATATATCTAGTGTAGTCCGTGTGTCCTCTAATCCTGTTTCCTGACCAGACTGACGTTTTGACAGATATATATATAGTGTAGTCCGTGTGTCCTCTAACCCTATTACCTGACCAGACTGATGTTCTGACAGATATATATCTAGTGTAGTCCGTGTGTCCTCTAACCCTATTACCTGACCAGACTGATGTTCTGACAGATATTTATCTAGTGTAGTCCGTGTGTCCTCTAACCCTATTACCTGACCAGACTGATGTTCTGACAGATATATATCTAGTGTAGTCCGTGTGTCCTCTAACCCTATTACCTGACCAGACTGATGTACTGACAGATATATTTCTAGTGTAGTCCGTGTGTCCTCTAACTCTATTACCTGACAAGAGACTGACGTTCTGACAGATATATATCTAGTGTAGTCCGTGTGTCCTCTAACCCTATTACCTGACCAGACTGATGTTCTGACAGATATATATATAGTGTAGTCCGTATGTCCTCTAACCCTATTACCTTACCAGACTGATCTACTGACAGATATATATCTAGTGTAGTCCGTGTGTCCTCTAACCCTATTACCTGACCAGACTGATGTTCTGACAGATATATATCTAGTGTAGTCCGTGTGTCCTCTAACCCTATTACCTGACCAGACTGATGTTCTGACAGATATATATCTAGTGTAGTCCGTGTGTCCTCTAACCCTATTACCTGACCAGACTGATGTTCTGACAGATATATATCTAGTGTAGTCCGTGTGTCCTCTAACCCTATTACCTGACCAGACTGATGTTCTGACAGATATATATCTAGTGTAGTCCGTGTGTCCTCTAACCCTATTACCTGACCAGACTGATGTTCTGACAGATATATATCTAGTGTAGTCCGTGTGTCCTCTAACCCTATTACCTGACCAGACTGATGTTCTGACAGATATATATCTAGTGTAGTCCGTGTGTCCTCTAACCCTATTACCTGACCAGACTGATGTTCTGACAGATATATATCTAGTGTAGTCCGTGTGTCCTCTAACCCTATTACCTGACCAGACTGATGTTCTGACAGATATATATCTAGTGTAGTCCGTGTGTCCTCTAACCCTATTACCTGACCAGACTGATGTTCTGACAGATATATATCTAGTGTAGTCCGTGTGTCCTCTAACCCTATTACCTGACCAGACTGATGTTCTGACAGATATATATCTAGTGTAGTCCGTGTGTCCTCTAACCCTATTACCTGACCAGACTGATGTTCTGACAGATATATATCTAGTGTAGTCCGTGTGTCCTCTAACCCTATTACCTGACCAGACTGATGTTCTGACAGATATATATCTAGTGTAGTCCGTGTGTCCTCTAACCCTATTACCTGACCAGACTGATGTTCTGACAGATATATATCTAGTGTAGTCCGTGTGTCCTCTAACCCTATTACCTGACCAGACTGATGTTCTGACAGATATATATCTAGTGTAGTCCGTGTGTCCTCTAACCCTATTACCTGACCAGACTGATGTTCTGACAGATATATATCTAGTGTAGTCCGTGTGTCCTCTAACCCTATTACCTGACCAGACTGATGTTCTGACAGATATATATCTAGTGTAGTCCGTGTGTCCTCTAACC